AAAAATCTAGATTCCCTAATACAGCGATAGCACCAAGGACAGCCATATAAACATTGAAATTACATATTATATTTTTGGCCCTTTACAGGAGCAATACTGAGTCATTACTGACGTACGAATAGGAGGAACATCGATCTCTGAAAGTAATACGTAAAAAAATCATCAACTACGTTATCAAAGTTATGATCAATTTTCTACACTGAAATCTGACCAGACGAGTAACACACTTCAACATGATTTTTACTGTTATTTACGTTGGCTTGTTGTCTTGCAAATGAGCAATTACTTAACGACAAACTGAAACGTGATCTGTTACATAGGTTATATAGGATCTAGGAAGACATTATTTACGCAGTATGATAATGTTGAATATAGTATTGAGGTGTCCGCGAGAGTTCAGCTAAGGACACATACACTCGGCACTTCTAGCCTTTTTCGACCAGAGTCACAGCGATCTCGCCGCCCCCACACCACCCCCTCCCCCCTCTGAGATGTTATATGAGCCCCGGCTACACCCCCATATAGCCCTTGTTGGGGCACTTTAGGGGATCTCAAGTGACCTCTGCCCCACTCTGGAGATTAGGTCCCCCTACTAAAAAGATCGCTAGCGGTTTGGCCTCCCAAATACGCTGGACAAATACGCTAGTGATCCCCCCCCAACACCCCCCCCCCCAACCACCACCCTACACACACACACACATCGCAACCCCTCCGCACCGGGTCGAAATCTTTATAGATTTTTTTCTGCCCCAGGGACAAATCCGCGATGTTTTTCACCCCCTCCGTCGACTGAGTTTTTAAATCATCCCGAACAAAGATTTTAGCTTTTTTTTTTACATCGCATTTTGATGTTACAAAAGCACAAATGCACGACGTTGTTGCATAAATACCTTTGCCAATGTTATTTTGCTGGGGCCCGTTTTTGTATTACCTCTACAGTGTATCGCCCAAAAGTCCATCTTTGTGAAATAAGGTACCTTTGCATAACCTACAAGAAAAGAAATCTTACCACAAGAAAAATATGCCAAATTGCAGTTTCTTGAAATTCTTGTCTCATGGACAAGACTTTTTTCTGGGGTGAAGAATAATTTTCTCCATGGAAGAAAATAATTTTTTCTTCTCTGAAGAAAAACAAGATAGGCATTTTTGGTAGTATATAAGGTATTACCTGGGTCTTAGTAATATAAGACAGCCGTTTTATACCTGTTAAACCTGGGGGTTAATCGCTAGCGATCTCGCCCCGGGTAGTAGGAAAATTAGTAAAGTGGGATGAGGTTGGGGGGCGAAATCACTAGCGTGTTGGTCGGAGTGAAACCACGGGGGGGGGGGGGGGGGTTGGCGAGATCGCTGTGACATCGGCAAATTTCTTTACGCAACCTGGTATACATAAAAAAGATCCACCGCAAAAGATTACATGAGAATACAAACAACATTAGAATCCATTTTTTGAAACTGTCAGGAGTGACTCCATCAATCATAGCATTCTTATGCTATCCCCACAACAGAGCAAATTGCAATGCACACAATAGAAATCAATGAGGTCGATTTTATGTGTAACTTTATCAGATGTAATATTCACAGTGATAAGAACACAAAAGACGGCTTGTTTTGGGATGTTGGTCACTATTGACGAAAACCGCTCCTCATATGATATTTCCACAACAGTGCATTACGTAGTACAAACATTAACAGCAATTAAGTTGCTTTTATCAGATGTGGCATTACAAAGGACGATATTTTTGGGGGGATTTCGGTCACTTCTTACGAAAAAAAACCTTTCACGTGAATTTTTACAACGGAGTATTGTGTAATAGAAACAATAAAAAAAGTCGCTTTCAAGTGTAACTTTATAAGATGTGGCATTCGCAAGGAAAGAATAATCCCCAGGTATATATTTTAGTGGCTGTAAACTTAAGACAGAATCAAATTGGCAATGCTGTATCCATTGGCTAGGCAGTTACCATTCAACCACTTCGGTGCTGAAGCCTGGTGAATTTGATTAAGAACACAAACTGGACATAACCGACGAAAGAGCACTCTATTTAATAATAAAAACAGTAAAAGCATTGGACCTACCTACCTACCGCTCCACCGCATTGGACCAATTTATCATGTAACTTTATCAGATGCAATGTCCTCAAAGATCAATAAAACACAAAAGACGACTAGTATTTGGATGTTGTTTACTATGAAAGAAACCGCACATCAAAGAAGTCACACACAAAAGAACATATTTCACTTGCGATTGAAAGACAGATTCCCTGATACCACCATTGACATCATCCCAAATTTAAATTATACACTAAATTTCAGACCCTCAGCCGGTCAAAAATACTGCACGACTCGGAATCAAGAGGTCCCCCTGTTCGAGTCGGTGGCATGTTCGAGTCCTGACATGCCACCGATCTTGTGCCCTTGGGAAAGGCACTTAGCACGATTTTCCCCACTAGACTCAATTGAAAATGAGTATTGTCTGTCCAGTATTAGTTTCTATGTGCGGGACACAACACCAGCAACAGCTGTCTCTGTTCCACGTGTATTGCACTGTTGCAATTTCAATAAAATCAAAATCAAATCAAAAAGACCAATTATCTTGAAACGATTAGCAAAATAAAATAAACGTCACATGAAATATCATTACAGCCATGATCATTTTTCTCACTCAAATTGTATTGAACGTTTATTTTAAATGTCTGATGGCTAATTGCAAGGATAGAGAACATGATAAAATAAAAAGTTCCAGAACAGGCTGCTAGGAGGGCAAAACCGACACCACTTATTCCTGAAAGGAAAAGCTATAGGTCATCCAAAGTCAAAGACCATAGCATGTTCAGGACAAAAGATACAAAAATCGGAAGTTCTGCTGCAGTACCAGGAGGGCCATATTTGACCTTGACCTTTGCCTTCCTATGACCTACCAACATACCAAATATTATAACAATCCATAAAGGCGTTCTAAAGTTATGCTGACTACAAATGTGCGGAAACACAAACACACAGACAGACACGCCAAAAACAATACCTCCATTTTTCATGGAGGTAATAACGGTCATCTTGCCTTGCGTGACGCAGTGTCAACACCGTACCAGGACACATGAAAAATTCCACAAAGCCGGCTGCTCACGAACCGTAGATCAGGGGATACCTTCATGAATAGATTACTAGGATATATAAACATTGGTTGGGCGAGAAAAATATGTATGTTGGATAAGAGATTCAATATTGCGACGCTGTCCATACAGTCAGAAAATTTGTCTTGTTTTAAGAAATATTGTAGACAATGGCGCTCAGCAAAAACGTGGACATAGAAAGGAAAACTTATGTCTTTTGCATTGGAACCTCCTGTATTTGTTTTAGCATTTGATTCCCTATCAAAATAACAATAAACGTGCATAATTATTTCATATCGTAAGGATTTATGTAGAGATATATACCAATTGAAATATTTAAGATATGCGAATTCAGTGATATCCTTTTAGCACTGATAACTGCGACCCTTGGGCGACCGAAAAATTGACTGCGACTAAAGAATTGTAAAGAAAAATATACATTATTTTAAAGTTTGGTGTGTTTTGTTGTCCTTTGCCTCATACTTAAATACAGTGACTGTGCATGCTATAAATAGCCCAATTACAAAATCAAGGGTCAAACAAATCCAAGTTTAGAACTGTCGCCTGGTGATCGCCGTCTAGTCAAAACCAGGCCTACAGTTTGAGTAAAACGTACAACGTCATAATCATCGTTCTAGACGCTTCCTTTACTTTAAATAAAATGTAAAGGGGGTAAAAAGGACTGAATTTTTTTTTTGTGGAAGACGGATAATTTTTCCTGCTGGATCCTTGACCCCAAATAATAACGGACCTATTACATTATTACGTCACAGTTTGTTTACCGCAATGAATGCCGGGACATTTTGTATTATAGATGTTTATATTTTACAGGTGTGTGTGTGTGTTTGTTTATCGTTACATATACATTTGTACCACTTTCGTCTGCTGTCACGACTAAATAACCCATTACGGCATGTAATGCTGTGTCAACAAAACTAGACTCAGCAGAAATCAAACACACCTGACTTTAAAAACTTGAAAGAGACTTTACCTAGAGAAGTGATCTTTATTCTTTAACTGACCGTTCTAGAATGTTCTTTAGAACAGGTAAACAAACTGTGACATAATAATGTAATAGGCCCATTGACGACATGGCCAGTGCCCACATACATTACTCGTGATGCAAACATGTCTAGTATTATTGGGAGGACTTTTATATTCAGACCTCATGCTTCATATTGAATATCAACATGTGTTTCTAACATACATGTAGCTTAGCCTCCTTCGCAGTCTTGTTGGGCGTGGGCGTAATTTTTCTCTGAGCGACGCGAGTAATATGCCGCCGCGAGGGACGATTTGCTGCCGAGGGACTTTTGCCACGGAGAGAAGGAGCGCGGAAACCTTCTCTCCATGGCAAAAGTCCCTCGGCAGCAAATCGTCCTTCGCGGCGGCATATTACTCGAGTCGCTCAGAGAAAAAATTACGCCCACGCCAAACAAGACTGCGAAGGAGGCTACATGTAGCTCCTCCCTTTGTCAAAAATCAATAGTGTCACCTGATCATTTCTGTCTTTGATATGATATAATATAAGGCCTGACTTTGCCACGTAACGGCTCATTTTAGTCCCCAACAACTGTATGTCCCCAGGTGAGGTAAAACGTTTCTATTTCAGGATATGCTGTATTTCATGAGTGGATAGATTTGTTGATTTCATAACTTTTCTTGAATTTCTCTGGGATTTCGCTTTATTTTTCATTTAACCGTATTTCCTTTATCTTGTCTTACTATCGGTGTGTTGATTGATACAGCATTTCGTATGGCTTTTTACTACACCTGTCACAATGCATTCTACAAGACGTCTGATGCTGTCTTGTGGCGATGCTTTACTTTTGTGGCCTTTTATTCATGTTTTTGTTTAATTGCAGGACGAGAGAGCTATACGGTGGCAACATGTTGAAATTACTACTTGTGATTTGCGCGTCGACAGTATTCAACATCGAGACAAATGCCGGTAGGTGAAAAAATCATTGCAAAAACTCACCAAAAAAACTTTTAAAAATAATAATTATGTTTGTCTTTGAAACAGAAAAAAAGGTGGGGACAACACTTCACAAAATATTTCGCAAACTAAACAAACATTTTAAATTCTAAAAATGAGACAAACTTTTCTAGTGAGAAAAGTGTATTTGTATTGTATTAACCCTAACAAAAAGTTGGATTCGCATGGTTGCATTCAAACCTGGTTGTACAATGACTATATTATTAATGCCGTCGATTTCTAGTTTAATATCTAGCATTATTCTGTTGACGATTTTTCCTTTTTTATATTATTGTGGTTGCTGTATGGGTATTTGTGTAATAAGATTTCACTTCGCTCTGTCGGCTGTGATGATGCCTAAGTTGCACGAGTTTTTTTTCCAACTTGGTTGAGGCCTTTTTAGTCTTACAGAGATCTACTCTTATGATTTTTTTATGTATTTTCACTTATACAAGGTCACTCGTGGCTTCCTAAATTGTATGATACGCTGAACAGACTAAGACAACTGCAACCTTATGGCTATATAGTTTTCCTTCATACTTTGTTGATGTCATGTTAATCATCACTATCATGGTGCATAACAAATACCGATTGTTAAATTTCTGCTGTATTTACATGCTGTGTCGACATGTCATTTCATTGTAAAATGGTGGCAGGGATTTTGACACTATACCATGAACACAATCCCGTTGTCACTAAGCACCACCTACCGTCTTTGTCACTAAGCTTCTAAACGAACTGTTCCTAAAGAAAAGGCTTCGAATTTCTAGACGGTACAGAAAGGAATCCCTCTATGATTGCACGATACAAAATCATGAGACATAACGGACCATTCTACCTCCATGTTGCCTTTGGTACGTCAAGAAGCCATTGCATTTGACATCTTCAAACTTAAGTAAACAAGTCTATGTAAAGTTTGAAATCAAGCCACACCTTCAGATTACCCTTGAGATCTTTGTTAAAAGAAAGTGTAAAGTGTCGTACCACCGTCAGTTCCTGTCATGCACTTCATGTTGCCCTGGAGTTCGTCCAGCCTCGTCTAATCCGTGTCACAACAATTTTTGGTAAACAATCCAATTTTTTAACCTTTATTCAACCTTAAAACTGATGTACAGACTACGAAACCAGGTACCGATTACGAAAACAGCTACCGTAACGGTAAAAATAAAGATACAGGCGTCATCACGGGCATGCCTGCTGATAAAACAAAGGGAACCGTAAGTTTTACCTTTTACAAACGGGAAAAGCCAATTGACCTCAATACTCCTGTTTTCGTAGTCTGGTGTGTAACGCCGAAAGGCATTTATACCGGCTATATACAGATACAGATACAGATACAGAGACTCTTCGGTCTAAGCCGACTTTCAAGAGGTAGAAGTGAGGACGGTCGGGTTACAGCTACGTATTAATAGTTTCAGCAATAGTTAATATGTTTGTATAGATCTGATTTTTGGTAAAGAATTCCATGCATGTAGGTATAGTTTCCACTGGAATGGACTACCTACGTACTGGGGCTTTAGCAATGGGCACTGTTATGTCCCAAACCGTGCCTGGGGTAAATCTACATTCTGGGACACGCGGGGACTGTCCCGAACCGTGCCTGACCGGACACAGTTCAGGACACATAAGGGCCTTGTCCCATTCCGTGCTTTGGGGGTGGAGCTTATTGTTTTGAGGGAGGAGCCTTCTCGTGGTGTTGTTTACTGTTTTAGGCCGCCATCTTTGTTTTTTGTCGCGGAAAGAATAAGAAAGAATCGGTGTAATCCTTGCTCTGTAAGGTACATTTTTACATTTCACGCTGGTCTACGACTTACATGTAGTGTCCAAACAGGGTGTCTTGTATCATTCTGCAACACAGTGCGAACACAGTTCTTGATACAACACAGCACGTAGTATACCCAAGAAAGCAGACTGACCCAAGCTCAGTCCTGGAATCGGAAACAAGACAGTGCTTATCTATCAACCCCACACACGGATCTGGATAGTCCTGACGCGTATGCACGACAGGCTAGAGCAAATCAGCTTGTAGATAAACAAAGTGTTTGGCCACGCAATGGCCGTGTCCCAAACCATGCCCGGGGACGGTCTGGGACACTCGGCGCGTGTCCCGAACCGTGCCTGGGAACTGAGCACAGTTCGGGACACGCGGATGCCTTGTCGGCATGGTTTGGGACACTTGACGTGTGTCCCAGACCGTGCCTGGGGAAAATCTACATTCTGGGACACGCAGGGGACTATCCAGAACCGTGCCTGACCGCAAACATATACAGTTCTGGACACGTATTATTTAAGGCTGCCCCATTGCATGCTAGGGGACTGAACACAGTTCTCATAAGATGTGTCCCAAGCGAGTTTCTTTCTTGTATTAACTAGTCTCTGTATATTATTATCTAAGTTCATGTCGACCACGTACATAAGACTAAGTTGTGTTAAAAGCACATGCTGTACACAGACTCACAAAATCTCACGTAATCTAACCATATAAGAAGACGTGGGCGTGAATGCTTAGGTTCCCGCCAATCACTCTGATTGACAGCGCTTCCGGACACGGTTCTGGACAGTCAGGCTGTGTCCCGTTCTGTGCCCGCTCAGGCACGGAATGGGACGGGCACGGTTTGGGACACAGCAGGCACCGTGAGCTCATAAATGTGGTCTAGAGTTGATTAAATGTTCCTGGTCTCTGAAAAGATTTCACGCTGGACCCATTCTTTTCTGCTCAGTATCATATAGATTTGTATCATGTCACCCCGGCTGTTTTGTATTGACAGTAAACAGTTGAGTCGTGTTGATACGTAAGTGCTTTGGTAGAAATCAATATCTAAATCTCTCCAGTTTGAACCCACGGATATGTTTTCAAGGTTTCTGTGATAAGCTGACGAGGGGCATCCTCACCATGTTGTTTACGTCCAGGAATTGGACACCGTGGAAAACTAACGTTAAATACCCTGCCTTATTTTTTTTTAATCATTGACATAGAAAAAGGTACAGGACATGGTGGTGCCGCACTCAAGTGGAAAGCACTTATGTTGACGGCACCACTGAAATAAATACATATAATAAAGAAAAAAAACCCGCAACTTTAAGACAGGCAAAAACAGTAGATACAGGAAATTCAAGAGCGCAGGTCCGGTTCCCCACCCAATGATAAATGATGGCAAAGAGGACGTGGTGATGAAGTTTTGGGTAAGTGATAATACATCGGAGTTAACAACTGATGAGAATGCGGTACTGCCACGGAGTAAAAACCCTGCCTTATATACGTGACCAAATTATGGCCAATGTGCATCCTCTGCTTTTTACTCCTTGAAGGAGTTTTTTTAGGTAAATCTTACGGTTCTCTTTGTTTTCATTTTTGTTTTATCAGCATGTAATTTGATATGTGGTCTGCAGGCATGTGCGGGATGATGCCCGTATCTTTATTTTTACTATTACGGTAGCTGTTTTCGTGGTCAATAATATTTCAGAAGCACTTGCTTCAGAAACGCCCCCTATATTTAAAATCCTGTGGAATATGCCGTAGGTTTAAGTACTGGTAGTTGTCTGGTTGGCGAGGTTCTATAAGCAGATATTAGATCGTCGTTGTGTATAATCGTTGCGAGTATCTGTTGGAATTGTAACTTATAGTTTTTACCTGCTACGATACCTTGTCAAATAAAAAAAAATATATGTAGCAAATGAAAGATATTGTTATGAAAGATGACGTTGTTTATCTGCTTAGATTGTCGTGTTGTTAATCGTATGTAGCTTGTGCTTATACAAGCTCTCGGTCGGGGATTTGGCTGTTCCCAATCTGCAAAATAGAAGATTGTTGCCTATGGACACTTGTCATATGTTGTTTTTATGGCATTAATGCAATTCACATAAGGTGAGCTTGGCAAGTTTGTTCCTCTTTCCCATTATTTTCAAGATTTATTTGTAAGAAGCTGGAGATACCCTGCCCTGCCAAACTCTATGCTGTTTACATTCAAATTTCAGCCAAAGCAATGCAAAAACTCCAATGACGAAATGAAAGATTGCTTGAATTACGCGTCAATTCATTTTTTTTTCAATATTAAGGTGTTGTACAAACCATATTGAATATAAAAGCAGTTCTCTCGGTTCTCCCATCTTTTTTTTATTGAAACGTATAATGACAAGACTAGGTGGCGACACACTCAAGATACACTTATATTCATGTCGCCACCAGACAATACATAATACATACAACAAGCATAGCACAGATAACATATTGAAATTGAATACTATGATAAATCAATGGACAGGTGAAACAGATATATAAAAAAGCTGACGGGACTGATCAATAAACTATGTTACAAAAAACGGTGAGATTCCAACAAAAATACTTGGACATGTTGTAATATTTAAATATTGTACGTTGTTGAGAGAAAAGAAAAACCATTTAAAAGAAAATATGTGTATCTCCCATCGTTTATAACGGATGAAAAAATATACTAAAAAACATAATGTAGTCTCCAAGTCCCACTTCGTTATGTATTATACTAAGAGCATTTACTTTGTTGATTAGGATGCTGTGTTATATTCTATACATTCTATATATTTTTGTATTGTGTTTCATAGTTCTGACAGCCTTGTTGCCCTAAAGATTCTGTACAAAAGGATGGGGTGACTAAATAATGAAGTAGTTTCATGAGCCTTGAATTAACGTTGTCCTGACAGGTAGATTGACACGGGTAACCAGTCCCTTTGTTGCCATCTCTTTAATGATTTCTATGCCCATTCTATTTTCCTATTCCCATCCTCAGAATGCAACGCGAAAACAGGGGGTTTAACCTCATTTGCATAGGATAGGAAGGCATCGGAATGATCCTGTTGACGTTAAACAGCTTGCTTTTTACTGTGTTCTGAGGTGTTTGGACATTTTATGCTCAACATTGATTAAATTACTATGGGTCGAATCTGACAACAAATAGAGAATGAAGTTTTGATGTTATTTTCAACATGGAACATGTGGTTTGTAACGTTACAGCATCATATAGCGTTACCACTTTAACGTTACAAACAATTCATTCAAAAAAAAAATCATTTTCTATTTGTTGTCAGATTCGACCCATAGTAATTTAATTAACCTTGAGTATAAAATGACCTAACACCTCAAAAAACACTGAAAAACTGTGTTCTGAGGTGTTTGGACATTTTATGCTCAACATTGATTAAATTACTATGGGTCGAATCTGACAACAAATAGAGAAAGAAGTTTTGATGTTATTTTCAACATGGAACATGTGGTTTGTAACGTTACAGCATCATATAGCGTTACCACTTTAACGTTACAAACAATTCATTCCAAAAAAAAAAATCATTTTCTATTTGTTGTCAGATTCGACCCATAGTAATTTGGTAAACCTTGAGTATAAAATGACCTAACACCTCAAAACACACTGAAAACAAGCTGTTTAACGTCACCGGGATCATTCCGATGCCTTCCGGCCCTATGCAAATGAGGCTAGTCTCCCTGTTTCGCGTTGCATTCTGGGGATGGGAAACTGGTGAATAGATCTAATCCTACAAAGGTGATGAAACAGGCACGAGGTTCTACATCCGACTGTGACCTTACGGTCTTCTTTGATGAGGGTCTCCTTGTATGGATTCTAGTTGCAAAGTACTTTAAAAATCCTTTTAGCTTTTCCATGAGGTCCTTGGTGTTACAGGAAGTACAAGTAAGACAGATTATAACACCCCTCCCTGCATACATGGATACTGAATAAAGTGCGCTCGCAATGACTCCTGTTGAAGAAATACGAGTTTTCATCTTAGTAAAACATTGAACTTTATTCCAACACACAGGTGACAGAGCGATCAAATTGTCAACGACCACTGTCGCCTTCATCAGGATAATTAATGACCAATCACTTCCCAACGTGATCTCACGAGAGTTACGGTTTACAAACTCGTGACCTAATTTACACGAGAATTTACTTCACTTAATAGAGATGGTGGACGATATAAACTCCCTGACACTTTTGATCAATAGCTTACGTCACATATAAGTAAATTCTCGTGTTAATAAGGTCACGTTTTTGTAAACCGTAACCCTCGCGAGATCACGTTGTAAAGTGATTGGTCATTAATTATCCTGATGAAGGCGACAGTGGTCGTTGAAAATTTGATCGCTCTGTTACCTGTGTGTTAGAATGAAGTTCAATGTTTTACTATGGTTATTACCAACACAGATGACCTTTTATGATGAGCTCTCTTCTCCATCCGACTTGGAGTACACGCACTCCTGTAAGTTACTAACACTATAGAATAAAGCTGTAAAACGCAGTGGATCTGTCTGTGTACACACCAACGCCAACACAAAGAGCAAACAACGTGACACTGAATTTAATGTACGCAGCTACCTTGTGTGGCTGTCACAAAATAAGTATAGAAACCGAGAGATAAAAAAATACTACATCGACCAAAGAGTTTGTCCATTTTATTCAGAGCTAATTGAGGACGAACATCACTTTTTCTATGTCCTAAATGTGTTCATATACTATGCACTAGACTATTAGCTTTGGTCTATACTGGCATTTTCTTCTGAATCAATGGAATTAAATGCAGATTTGAAACCCTTGTTCTGCGGGGCCCATGTATATAATATGTATGGGTTGCGCATACAGTACTATCTACATAGTGCCTCGTATATGAACGGTTTAGGGGTGTTTCTCGTGGAACACATCACACCGCAGCGAAACGCAACGAATGCGGAAGTAACTACGCCACCGCAGGGCAAAAGAAGTCAAGGGTCTGTGACCCGATTAAAACATCAAATTATTTGAAAATATTGTGTAAAAAATGCCAGCAGGACAAGGGTTAAGTACACAATAACATATCACAACCTCTGCATGGAATACGTAGGAATTAACATTAGTGCGGAAGTTGTTTCCCTCTTTTTTTTATATGTTTATAATCCCTTTTTCCATACCTTGCTTATTGAGATCTCTCTATATTACCCTCTTCTAACTTAAACTCAATGGTGAAGTCGAGCTAATGAGTTACTGTCATACATTCACAACCCTCCACAGAATTTTCTCCCAAGCACCAGCCGACTTGGTTCGGCTGATTTTCGGAACCACTATGATCACATTTAGGCCACTCTTAACTTTCTTAAAGAATCAAAACGAATTTGAGTCAAATTCGACCCCTGACTACGCCCTAACACTGGTGCCTTAGTTCTGAATGGTTCGCCTGTGTTCTGCTGACGAACGGCCTAAAATTAGCCAACCATGATCGAACCTGCCGAACGGTTATTCGGTTGGCGCAGACGAATTGTAGTCAAATACTTTATTCACGTATATTAATTGAGTATTGGGCAGAAAGCAAAATATGCTTATAGAATTCCTTCTACTAAAAAACATACAACGTGTATAAAACATATTGACAAGATACATGCATAATTACAAGGTGGATAAGACCAAGATAAATACAAAGACAAGTTGGTGATCTATCAATTACGAGAATCTGCCCGTACAGTAAATAAAGTTTTGAACTACATCAAAAACATTACATTTTTGCAGGTGTGAGAGTGATGTGGACGCTCGAAGTAGTACGGAACATAGCGAACTGTCATTGAGATGCTGTAGCTCTACTATGTTGGAGAGAGATGATAACAGAGTACTTCTTTGACTGGAATAAAGTGTACAATGTAGAAAGTAGTGTTCAGTTGTTTCACTATCAAAAAATGATAACTACATTTACAATTAGTCGAATATATGTCGCCTTCTCTTTTCAGACCCAGCCTCTGTGTCAGGCGGTAAGCTCCATGTTCGGCACAGACAGAAGAGGAGCTTTGTCCAGTACGGCATGATGATACACGCGGTGACGGGACGGAACCCGCTGGACTTCAATGACTACGGCTGCTACTGCGGATTGGGCGGGTCGGGAACACCTGTGGACAACATAGACAAGTACGTATGTGCACATCGATTTAAAACTAGAAAGGTAACATTTGCAAAGCAAATGCATAATGTTTACCTTCGCATGTGGTCTTTTCTGCTAATTCTTACTCAAATACGTACATATACATTCATTATATATAGTCACACAGGAGTATAAATCCCCCCTAATATAAAATTGCAACATTATGTAATCCAACACTAGTTACCAGGGTGACAGACGTCAACAAACCATGTCATTGGTCAGGTCATAGGTCAGTGTTTGGAACAGAAGAAGAAGAGGAAAGTTTAACGTTACGGTAGCAAAAACAATATGTTTTCCTTCGGTGAACATAACAAAATAGTAGCGTTATCATACTGTGCCTGTATCCGGATTTGTATCAGTACAGCCCACATAACCGCTTTACAGCAACGCGGTTATATTACACAAAAGGACTTGTCATACCTGGTCTTTGAACATCTCAACCTAAACCATGTTTAAAGCTATTTAGAGAGGACGTCCCTACTGTACTTGGTGGCAGAGAGTTCCACTCTACTATTATAGGTCTAGGAATAAATGTGTTTTTGAACACCTCAACCCTTGGTTCATAACTCCGGTATTTGACGACATGGCTATTTCTTGTTCATTTTTATTAGGTGGTATTATACGTTGGTAGCTGGTACATCCACCAGTATATTAGTCATTTTGTACATCATACTAGTCTTTGACTCACATGCAACAACAAGAATTCGGAGATATCATACCGACGTGAGAATCAAGAACCTTTGTCTTATTTATTTGTCTCATTGATCGTGGGTATTAGAAGATTACCTGTAGAATAATCTATCTTATGTATGATTTTCTCAACTCTGTCTGGCTGACTAAGCCGTGAACATCGATTAGGCCACACCAATTTGATTTCTTTGTTAACGGATTTTTCTAGGAAAATAATGGAGCGGGCGGGCGAACCTATTATGGCCCAAAATGGTACGATAGGAGCCATGAAGTCAACACACCAGGCTGGTTCAAAATTTAAACAATGAATTTTGAACTTTTAATGATAATATTGCATTGAAAGATGGAATAACTGTACATGTAGCAACTAGGAAGAAAAGGATTGTTTTCAATTGTTCAGGGCAAAATATGAGCATTTTGCAGTTGATTCTGAATTTTTTTTTTTTGCAAATCAGAAAAAAAACTAAGCGGGCGAATCCGTTAACCAAGAAATTGATGTGGCCTTAGCGTCAAATATCATTCTAATTTGCGCGGGACTGGTATATGTAGCCGTATAGTGTTCGGCCTTGAACCAAGAGGTCCGGGTTCGACTCCTCTGGTCGAAATGTCACCAACCATGTGTCCTTGAAAAATGCACTTTCCTCACTTCACTCAGGTGAAAATGAGTACCTAGCTTTGGTTAGGGACGTCCCTCGGATAGGACGTTAAATGGAGGTCCCGTGTTTAGGGAGAGCCACACCCCAGGCACGTAAAAGAACCCACCACAGCTTTCGAAAAAGAGTAGAGCATGCCCGGGTGTGCGATGGTACACATACTTATCTGATTATTCACTACGGACTCCAGGAAAAGTAGTGTGAAATTCATACTAATGGAGATCGTAAACGAACAAACAAACAAACAAGCAAACAAACAAATCACCTTATGTTGGAAACAGGATTTGGGGTGAAAATTCCCCAAAAAGTGATCTTTGTCCTTGAAATCATGCCTTGCATGATTTCAAGCATACAAAGCTGTAGTATCGACTGGTTAAGAATTTCTTTCTTAACTTCTCTATAGGTGCTGCCAAGACCATGACCAATGTTATGATTCAACGTCTTTGCCGAAAATCACCACATACACCTATATCGCAAGCCCTGGATCCGTGACTTGTCGTACGTACACACAATACTGTTTTACCATGGAAGTTCATCTGTGTTCTATCGTGGAAGTTCATCTAAGTAAATTGTATTACAACACAAATGGTACATAAGGACCAGATTTTCAACGACCAATGTGGTCTTCATTAGGATAATTAAAAGGACTACGTTTAAGTAGACTACGTTTTAAGGGGTATAAAGGAGGTCATATATGTTTCATATAGCTTTATGCAGACGGTGGACGATATAAACTCCCTGACAAGTTCCATCAATTACTGACGTCACGTACCAGAATAGAGTCCAGTGCTGTAAGAATACGCAACCACTCTCAGTGAAAGCTTGAACTCAACTGGTCGGTTCTAGAGCCCCTTCCCTCGAACGGTACCGGTATAGATCATCTGTTCTAACACGACGCAGGCACGTGCGCTCGTACGTGTTCGAACAGGTGGCCACGGCCCCGCCCAAGGGAGGGGTTAGAACCAGCGAGAATACAGAGCTTTTCTATTGTCATTGTTACCTTATAATGTTAACAATATACATTGTTACAGTGTTAAGCAAATGCATTTGGTCGTGAATAAAAAAAAACAACTTTATAATACAAATTCAGGATAGTAATAAAACTAATTAAATCTATCACCACAGAGGACCCCCCTGGCTCCAATGAACGGGCGGTGTGTGAGTGTGACCGGGTGTCCGCTCTGTGCTTCTTTGCCCACCTTAGCGAGTATACGGAGAAGAAACCCTGCAGCACTGTCGACAGCGGTACTAGTACTACTACTAGTAAGTCCCTCATATTTTTTACGTTCCACATTTCTAATGGAGGATAACTTTCATTGTTTTGATGAAAGTGCAGAATATAGAAGATCCCCTGATGCTGTATACAGATTATGTTCCCAAGTTTAGACATTTAGGCAGGACAGAAAAAATTACTATTCCTTATAAACCATATTTTATATTAACAACCGAGAAGTTAAACATGTACCTGAACCTGAAAATAATCTGTATACAGAGTAGCTTTAGAAAAAAAGATTACTTCAATACCATACACGTACGATAAAAGTTCTTGCATTTGTTTAGTTTACGCCAACTCACGAAAGAACCAACTTCTCATTCATCCATTTCATTTATATAATTTAACCAGAGTAGTGCGCTCAGGTCTACTGAGCTGGTTTTCAGGTTACATATATAAAATACACAATATACATAAGAAAACACACAATAAGAATATACATTACAATTTCAACTTCAATTCAACATACACAACGATCGTAAAACCATTTACCACTCAAGTCCCACTCACAAAGAGTCTTTGAAAGATGTTAAAGTTGGGAGCTGTCTTTGCTCCTTGGAAAGTTGGTTCCACAGAACCGCGGGCCCTGGTACTGCAGAGGCCCTTTGAACGATGTGATGTTTGCCTGTGGCACTTTCAGCATGTGGTTTCAATTTGTTAGGAAAAAGATATCAATGATTGCTAGTAGCAACAATTACAAACTGAGCAGATTAATGCCTAAAGTAGTCAAGTTTATGACATTATGAAAAACTTAAACTTTTCTCCAACTCAAAATTTGACTCACCAGAAATTTTCGACTGAATCAACCAGTCTTCCTCAGCTATCTGACCCAAATGCTGTGGACACGTGATTTTTCCCACGTGTGACGTCAGCAAAGGGTCAAAGGTTGTCTGAAGTCGATATCGCCCCCCGTCCCGGTTGAGCGATGGTTGAAGTGCCCTGATGTATATGGCCTCTTTTATGCCTCTCTTGAAGTGATCCTGTTCGGTATCCAAGATTCTGACCCCCTCCAGATCCACTGTGACTAGGGGCGATATCGACTTCAGACAACCTTTGACCCTTTGCTGACGTCACACGTGGGAAAAATCACGTGTCCACAGCATTTGGGTCAGATAGCTGAGGAAGACTGAGTGATTCAGTCGAAAATTTCTGGTGAGTCAAATTTTGAGTTGGAGAAAAGTTGAAGTTCAATGTAATTTACCAACACAGATGAACTTTCATGCTGAAGTTTATGACATGTGTGCCTGTTAAATTTCAGACCAGTGCCCCTTGGATGTCATGTTTCTGATTGATGGATCCTGGAGTATCGGCCAAGAAGAGTTTGAGAGGGCTAGAGCCTACATCTCTCGCATCGTAGAATGTTTCAGCAACGGTGCCGTTACGGAGGTAGGTTAAGTATCTTTAAATGTTTTAAAATCTATCATCCATCCGTTAGTCTAGTATTTGGGGCACCGCAGATGATTTGACAACCAGTTCACTCCACCCTTCTCGGTTTTCTGTTCCTTGTAACTTTTTACTTAGTGTTCATCCTCTGATATTATCCTTCCACCTTTCTAGTTGCCTGACCCTATTTTCTTTTTCCCTGTGCTGTTCCTGGCATTGTGGTTTTGAATAGTCCCGATGCATTTCAGTTTTTTTCAAGATTTATCTGTACATGGATGTAAAATGTTATTTTTGCTCAGTTGCTTATCACTCCATCAATCCCGCTTTATTCAGTAATTTCACCACCCATTTGCCCATGGCTAGTGAATGAACTGACCCGAAATACATGGTGTTTCAAGTTCTTCAAGTTCCAGTATTTCTGTAAATCAATACAGACATCAAAATCACAATAAGGATCATAATAGACCCATTGACTAATAAAGCAAGGATACAGCTCATGTATTTTATGTCGTATGTAGATGATGTCAAATTTAGATCCAAAGAGGCATTTATTTAAGGTGGCAGAGTAACCAGAAGGTCCCGGGTTCGATCCCCTTACATGCCCGATGTTATGTACCCTTGGGAAAGGTAGTCAACACGACTTCCCTCCATGTATGGTGGAGTGACGTCCACCGTCCTTTCGGCAAATCGTGTTTTTTTTATTCCAACATGTAATCACAAGACGTGGTGACAATGCACCTGAGTTAAGTGAGGAAAGTCGTGTAAAGTGCATTTCCCAAGGCACAAGATCGGTGGTTGCATGTCAGGACTCGAACCCGGGACTTTTTGGTTCCTAGTCGGACACTCTGCTGCTACGCCACACGACCCCACGTCGTGTTTATACGTGTCCAAACGCTGATGAGTACACAGGCTTATTTGGAACCGTACATCTTTTCAGGGTGCTGGCCGTTGACAATATGAATGTGCTGCACTCTTCTTTCCCTTCTAGGTCGGTGTAATCCAGTATTATGACTGCACACCAAAGGTCGGCATACCGTTGGGCCACTACCGTTGGGACACTCCTGGTCTCCTGAACGCCATTAGAGACTTCTACTTTAGTGGAGGTCAAGCCGAAACTGAAGCTGCCTTGAGATACTTGACAAGAGTGGTAGGACAGTTTATGAATTAACATTATGCCAGCTGGGTGCATATGGTTTCTTAAAGCTACCTAATGTAACATTTTTGTATTAAGAATTTTTGATTTGTATGTGATTGTGATTTTTTCTCACTTTTCAATATATTTGTGCCTTTGTTGTCATATTTCTGACATTTATGGTTAGCGCTACAGCAGCCCACTCGCGTTTATTCATTAGTTATCACCATCACAATATGCCATCATGGTAACAAACATGGATGTCAGCTTACAAACACACTTGTAGTGTACTTGTAGTGCATTATTATGCTATGCTTTTGAAAATTTACTCCCTGAATGGCACCTATGTGCAATGGAGTGGGTTTGATTTTACTTTGTCAAGAAATGAAAAGAAAATTCACTTTTTGTATCGTTCTTATATCGCCATAATGCAGCTTTTCATAGAAATTTTTTTATATACATTGTATTTTTTTTTTCAAAATCTAAATGTCGAAAGTTGCAAATTAGAAGAAAAAAACTGAGTAAGCACATCGTACATTTTCTTTCAAAACTGCCCACTGTGCAACTTGCAAACCAAGTAAACATTGTGTACATGTAGATTTAGGGTTGTTTGAAGGACAAAGACTGCTCAATAATCCAATACAGTAAGTTTTTGTTGTTGCATCCTTCGTGTGCATTCAGATACAATTCCGTGAAGAAGCTCGAAAGGTTGCTGTTGTGGCCACAGATGGACACTGGCAAGATGTAAGTGAAGTCATTTTTCTATTTCTTAAAGTCTTCTGGTCAATCAAGCTTTACAACTAGTCAAGTGATCGTCGTTAAGATAACACTTCTCCTTGATATCCGTAGTAGACAATAACTATGATGCTAAACTTTAAATCTCTCATTGTCCTGTATAATCTGCCATAATCTTCATACGTACATTTCATCAACGAACCGTTTCTAACTTTCAGTCCTTCCATCTATTCCTACAACACTGTGAATACTGAAGTATTATATATTTGAATGACCTCTTGCCTCCTACCATACTGAGTTATATTGTTACTTTTTTTATACTGTCATTAGCCTAGATTATGGATTGTAAGTATAAGAGATTTCTGTGATTTGTGACTTTATTGTGTTATGATGTGTATGTTTATGTATGTATGTATTTCATAATATGGGGCCCGACATCAGCTCAACTGGCAGGGCTTCCACTGTATTGCAGTGTTGGCAATTTAAATAGATAAATAATCTGACATGACACAAACACTTTTAAAAGTTGTATTGGCCAAATAATGCGACATTATGTATGGCCAGCCATTGATGGAATTAAGCTTTATACCACACACCTGATTGTGGCATGGAATACACCATCGATAATTATTGATTGGTCAAAAGTATTTGTATCTTTTTCTCCCCTGATTTTACATAACCTTGGTGCCTAGTCGTGTTTTATTTTGTTTATTAATCTGTGCCTACTATGAAACGTCTTTTTAATCTCACTGTGATACAAAGGTCTGGTTTCACTTGTTCTCTACTGTTCAGCTATTAACGAAGCTAAAATTGAATATTCTCCTCATTCAGGATCCTGGAGAGTACGCTCAAAAAGCCCGGGACGCCGGCATCGAACTCTGGACCATCGCTACTGGAATGGACCCCTTCATCAACGAGACTGCACTCGCCAGCATCAGTGGTGACGCCTCGCGAGTTGTTAGTCTAGACCTGGACCAGCCATGTGATACTGCTGCCATGATCGAACAATGCGGTAGGATTTTTGTGTGTGTTAACATTTTTTTTTAAAACCCTTGTCCTTCGGAGCACAGCAATTGTTGTTCTGCACATACAGTACCATCTATATAACACCATGTATAGGTACGATTTGGGGGTATTTCTCGTGCAACGCATTACACCGCAGCGAAACGCAACGAATGCGGAAGTAACTATGCCACTGCAGGGCAAAAAAAATTGGGGGTCTATGACCTAATTTAGATATGAAATTAATGAAAAATATTGTGCCAGGAATGCCAGCAGGACAAGGGTTAAACAAATTTTAACCCTCAGTACTTACCCATTGTTGACCACAGCATGTAATGTAAATAAAACACTGTAGGTAACTCAAGAATGCTCATTGAAATGCAAGCTCTAACACGGAATATTTATTATTTTCTTTCTAGAAAATTCCACTGATCAGCTGCCACCGACCCCCTCACCACTTGAGGAAGGTAACTTCGTTTGCCTTGTATACCTACAAAATATGTCTAAATAATTATAAAAAACAACTAGATGTCAAGGGACACGAGAGAAAAGTTGCTGGACGATCCAATGTCCAAAAAGTACAAGCCAACAATGTATAGTTTTAAAAATTATAACCACTGTCCTGTTTATGATATCCCATTAGGAATCTTTGGGAAAAAAGAACCTCTTCAAATATTTATGTGAACTAGAAAGGCCAATATTTGCTTTGGAGCAAATACAGCGATGGGTTCACCACATTTTACGACATGGCAGGGAAAGAATGAGAAACACAAGGGAAAACAATGATTTACATTGATATAACTATAATATGAAGTAAAATACAACTAAAACAACAGTTGGATAGCTATTCCCTACTTTATTGGTAAGGATTTTTAATTGCATAATGGAAACTGTTGATTTTCAAATTAAAAAAAAAAAAAACGTCCATGCCCCGCATTCCAATGCTGGAGCAGGAAAGCTTGAAATACCTACCAAAACACTTGAATACAGACATACTGTCAGTATGGAAATGCTCTGTGCAGGTGTTAATCAAGTTAAATCCCAACAGCCAATCAGCAAGAAATGCTCTGTGCAGGTGGAAATGCTCTGTGCAGGTGTTGATCAAGTTAAATCCCAACAGCCAATCAGCAAGAAGAATAGAGGAAAGCTGCATGCCTATTGGTTGATGCCCTGCATTCCATTGTGATGACTCATGCCCAAACGTGGTAAACAAGGCACACTAACACAGTAATACATTTGCTATAACACAGCCAAAAAACTCAAATAAAACCATTCTAAAAGCCTGTATCACAATAATTTAAAAAAAACGCCTAGGGGTATTTGCCCACTGTACCTCCATACCAAATTTCAGGACCTTGGGCCCTAAAATGAAGAAGCTGAATCCATTTAAAAAATGGCAGGAGAAGGAGAAGGAGAAGAAACATCAGAAAAAGCAATATGGGTTCACCACCACTTGGGTTCATGGGTTCACCCGTGGTGTGGTGAACCCATAATTATCATTTCGTTTTTCTCTCCCTTATTCAGGTGGCCTCCTCCCCGTGCTACAACAGCTTCTGGACGGACCAGTTGATTATTCCTACGCCGCCAGCCCAAACTGCAGTATCCACATGGCTCTCAGCGGATGTCTACTCATCATAACTTCTACTCCTGATGACTGTATGACTCTCAGCGATGTCCTTTCAGATGCTCTCCCAACTGTGTCGCTAGATGGCTATAGTGATGGTGTAGCTTCTGATCTGTTTGATGTGGCAGTGTCGGAATACTACGTTGATCGCTGTGAAGGAGGATTGTCAGTTTCAGCAGGCACCACAGATCCTGTTGTTATTGTACCTTCTCTCGTGACTCTGGATGAATTTTCGGTCGATGTGACTTCTAGTTCGTCCTCACCTTTTAACGCCATGTTTAAGGGTGTTTGGACCCTGGCCGATCTCAACTTTAATGTTACATTAGAAAAATCCGAGGACGGCTTTATCCTTACGGGTGTAGAACCAGATGTTACGAGTGTATCCATTGACAGAATTATATCTGGCCTTTCCTATCTTGCCCCTGGTAACACTGCAAGCGAGCTTCTTCAGGACCTGGCACTAGACATCGTCTCTGGCACAGGCTTAGGTGTTAATTTCTGGATCGACAACGGTTTTGGGCCCAGTTTTGAACTAAATTTTGACACAGCGACCCCGTTCTATATTGGTAACGGCTTGATACGAGTTTCCGGGTCTGGGTCTGAAGAGGAAGGCCCTGGAATTTCTGTCGGCATGGGCTGGGATCCACCGCATGCAGAGATGTTCATGGATGGTAGCGTCACCGCTCTCGGCATCCACGCAAACACCACGATTTCCATGGATGCCTACGGGACTTACTTCGACATTGAAGGGAGCTTCCTTAACTTGTTCTCAGCATCCCTGGATATAGAAGCCAACTACGGATCACTGAATGATACTGAGTTTTCAGTAACAGGGACCTTTAACAGCGATCTTTCCAGGTCAATCACCATTTACCTTGCTTGAAAATGTATTCCTAGGTATTGTGATCACACAAAGCAATGATTCATACAATTTAATTGTTACAACGTTCTAGCAATAGGTACTTGGTTGCCTAATTGGACTTAAGCCCCAAGATGAGGCCTTCGTTGTCTGAGTTGTACTTACAAAATCAGCTACGGATCCTACCAGTAACCATTTTCCGTTCCTATTTTCTACATAATCGCTCCACGAGTGTCGATGTACTTTGAGGTAGTTTTGTTTAAACTAGCTACTTTGTAGATTAGTGACTTGAATACTGACTTTGAAAAAGCTGGCCTTCCTATACTAAAACTGCATTGGACATCTTTAAGATTTAAAGAGAAATATTCATAGGTGTGCACATCGTTTTCCCAGTGCTCTGGAGGACAAGGTTGGGGCTCTACTAGATAACGTCGTGAAGGAAGCCAAAGCTGCACTGGGTGATGCCGGCAGTGTCATGATGAACGCCCACCAAGCATGTGATGATGCAATGGCAGTCTTTAATATGGCTCAGATTGACGTAGGTTATCAGATTGTACTTGCAGCAAGAAAATTGTACTTGCAGCAAGAAAATGGTTTTCTATTATTAAAAACCCTTGTCCTGCGGGGCCCATATATATATGGGTTGTACATACAGTACCATCTATATATAGTGCCCTGTATATGTGCGATTTGGGGGTGTTTCTCGTGCAACGCATCACACCGCAGCGAAACGCAACGAATGCGCCGCAGGGCAAAAACAAAGTCAAGGGTCTGTGACCTGATTAAAACATGAAATTATTTGAAAATATTGTGTAAAAATTGCCAGCAGGACAAGGGTTAATGCTAACGTTTAAGTTTGTTTCTTTTCCCTGAATTTGATACACATTTAGGCTTAAAAGAGTCACCAATCTTCCTGGTCTTAAAAAAGGGAAAATTCTCATCTCTTCGTCCAATATTTCACATACATTTATTGAAATTGACTCTGTATTATCTATTACAGGCTGACAGTGCACAGCTTGACTTTGAAAACGCATTTGCAAGTTTGATCAGTGCAAACCATGGCCTGGAGAATGAAAAGGCGGCGCTCAGCAACGCTGTAGCAGATCTATTTGAAAAACAGCAAAACTGCCAATTTCGGGATTGTGGATTTTGTAAGGCATTTTTTTTCATATCTATAAAGCTTAGATTGTCTCCACTGTGTCACGTCTTGTCTAACTATGATACAGGAATGTGGCAACATCATTTATCCAGTCAATTTAATCAAGTCAATTCTACGGATTTGTGATATGGAAACGCAACGTTTAATTGTATGGCTCATCTCATACAAGAAACATAACTTCTACAGGATTGATGAACTGTTCTTTTTCAGGCCGAAGAATCAAATGTTTCTCACAGAAACATTTTATCATCTGACCTTTCAATACACTAATAAATTACTCATTCGACCGTTGGGGCACTAATTAGATAACCACATTTCTCCATAATTCTCAGTTTTTTGTTCCTCTTTTTACTTGGTGTCCTATTATGTTATTTTCCATCCTTACCACATGCCTACCTGTCATTCTCTCTCCTTGTACTGTTTCTTGCAGGATAGTTTGACTAGTCCCGATGACCGTGAAATGTGATCCCATTACTTCCGTTTCAGCAATAGTCAATTCCGATGTATAAGAAATATTTGAGTTGAATTGTCATGAATACGGGTCTGCCTCTGGTTGATTTGCAGTTGATGTTGCGTGCATTGCGTACAACGCCGGGCTGGCCGTGTGCCAAGCTGGTCTAGAGGTAAGGTTAAAAACGACTAAAACTCTAACCCTAACACTAACCCTGACAACGCCTTTGTCTCCGTCATTTCAACAGACTTTAGGCCACACCAAGTAAATTTTATGGATGACGTCCGCGCGCGCACTGATTTTGGCCTGTTCCTAGAAAAAAACAAGAAACTCCACTTCCTGTAACTATGACCAAAGAGTCACGACGGTGCCGCAAATAGGTTTGTACGGACCAAAGCTTATGAAGCATCAAGCAAGGAAATCAGCACTTCCTTTAGGAATTCAGTTTGGTACATGCTGCCACATTTGAAGAAACTTGCTGACCGCTCCAACTGCTGTTCCACCTGATTTATTGCTGTTTTGATGATGAATAAAAGACTTCTTGCTTGTTACACTGTGTCACCTCAATCAATTTGTGTCCTAACATTTGTCGTCTCTTAGTATATTTCTAATCTAGGCATCTTCTTTTTAGGGCCCTTCTTGTTTTTTTTTTCGCCCTCTCGCATTAGATTTAGACTCTCCAAAGGACGTCATCCATAAAATTTACTTGGTGTGGCCTTACATAATAAAACAAATATACAAACAAGACTGCCTGCCAATTGTACATTGATATGCAAATTTTCCTTATTTCCCTTCTTATGTATTTGATTTCTATATGATTGATTTGATATCATTTGATGTATGCCTATTTTGCACCGCTTATTCTTCTGTTACTTAATTAAGTTCTAATTTGCCCCTTGATTGTACATAAGTTTTCTTCAGTGATTACTTTATGTTGTATTATACTGTTATTGTTTTATTGAGTTTGGGGATTGCCCCCCAGGGTGCATTGAAACCGCTCTCCAGGGCGATATGTTCTCTGGTTAAATAAACAACAAACAAACAAACAAACAAACATGTAATATCTTCCAAGGTCATTGTGACTATCATCATCAACATCAGTGGGACTAGTATCAAGGGGATATAGGCATCTTTGTGTGGAGACATCAGATAAATAATATCTCTAAGTGTTAAGGCCACACCAAGTAAATTTTATGGATGACGTCCGCGCGTGCATTGATTTTGGCCTGTTCCTAGAAAAAAAACAAGAAAGCCCGCTTCCTATAACTATGACCAAAGAGTCACGACAGTGCCGCAAATCGTGAAACCCGTAACGCGAAAACGGGACAGGACAACTGCTGTTCCACCTGATTATTACCTTCGCCAAGAAGGTTATGTTTTCAGGGGCGTTCGTGTATGTGTGTGTGTGTGTGTGTGTGTGTGTGTGTGTGTCTGTCAACACGATAATTTAAGAAGGCCTTGATGGATTGTCTTGATACTTGGTAGGTGGGTAGGTCTTGATGAGACCTCAAAATGATTAGATTTTGGACCCCCTAGCGGCTTGTTATGGTACTGCAGCTGAACTTCCGGTTTTGATATCTTATGATCTAGACATGCTATGGTGATGAAATTTAGATGGTAGGTACACATGTAGCTCTTGTGCTGGGGAAGAAGTGATGTGAGTTTAGGCCCCCTAGCGGCTTGCTCTGGAACTGCAGCGATATATTCTTGAAAATATTCAAAAGGGGATAACTCAAGAACCGGTTGACGGATCGTCGTGATTTTTGGTATGTAGGTAGCTTACGTGATCCTTCATATAATTATGTGACAATTATGCAAATATGGATATAATTTGCATAATTTATGGGGAAATTCTATAAATCAGCTGCATTCCATGATAGGACAATTAAAGCTTGTGACATTGGTAATTGACAACGAGAGAAACACAGGAAGATATTGATTATGTTAATAATGACCTAATTTGCATAATTAATGAGAACATTTTATAATTATGTAATGATAACTGCCTGGAATTTCATACTTGTGGTATTTGAAAGTTAAATTGGGATGAACATCATTAAACATAATTTATTCAAATCAGGACCTCATTTGCATAATTTATTAGGAAATGCTAGAATGCATTGTTTGTTAGTATAAGACTGTTTTTTGGTTGAGATTATGATAAAATGATATAATTCATGAAAATTAGGTTCCTATTTCTTAAATCAGGGGGGAATAATCTAATCTATAATTTGTCAGTCATAAAGATTAACATCATTTGGCGAAGGTATGAGATCGGGGAACTCTAGTTTATTGCTGTTTTGATGAGGAATAAAAGACTATCCAGGCTCATAGGACACACCGTAGATTTTACAACTCTTTCTGACAACGCAAAAACTGACCTTTTACTCCGTGGCAGTACCGCATTCTCATCAGTTGTTAACTCCAATATATTATCACTTACCCAAAACTTCATCACCACATCAGAACGTTTTTAAAAGATTTCAATTTCCCCCTTTGTTATTTATGTACTGTGCCATCATTTATCATTGGGCGGGGAACCGGACCTGCGCTCTTGAATTTCTTGTATTTACTGTTTTTTGCCTGTCTTAAAGTTGCGATTGTTTCTTTTCTTTATTATATGTATTTATTTAGTGGTGCCGTCAACATAAGTGCTTTCCACTTGAGTGAGGCACCACCATGTCCTGTATCCTTTTTTCATGTGAATGAATAAAAAAAAAAGACTTCTTGCTTGTTACACTGTGTCACCTCATTCAATTTGTGTCCTAACATTTGTCGTCTCTTAGTATATTTCTAATCTAGGCATCTTGTTTTTTAGGGCCCTTCTTGTTTTTTTTTCGCCCTCTCGCATTAGATCTAGGGTCTCCAAAGGACGTCATCCATAAAATTTACTTGGTGTGGCCTAATCCACAAATAGTGTATGCAATTTGACACTCACATGTGTGTTCACACTGTGCCTAAGGTTGCAAAAGCAACTGTAGAAGCTGCAAAGCAGACACTAAAGGTTGCCCAACTGACTGCCACTGATGCTCAAGAAGTGGAGAACAGCACCAGATGGACACTAGACGCTGCAAATGCTGTTTTGGAACAATCCCAAATCGCAGTCAACGATTCATGCGAGTAAGTGGAAAACACTTTGGCATTTACCTAAATCAACCCAGGCCTTTTCAGTGTGACATACTATTCTTTTGTCATTATATAAGTTGGTAAAATTTTTTGTTAAAATTTAAAACAGATGTCAGTGAAGTACTAGTTATGTAACATATAAATGTTTATATGCAGTAACATATAAATATCGAACGTCTTCGGTATGCATTTGAAGGTGGCGGGCATACTTTTAACTCATTACAGTGTTGGTAGTTAAAAGCAGCTAATCGTATCCCATATTTGTCATCCTGATTTAATTCAGAAGATATCCAGATATAAACTAAGTGTACAGAAAAATCTACCTGGTATAGAATTTAAATTAAAGGCTATAGTCAAGCATGTGTGATTGTGTTTATTGCGTGAATACCACCTTGCCAAAATTGATTGTGACCACTTTGGTGGCCGTTGATGTAATTTTTCACCTTGACACAACTATACAGAACGCTGTCTATAGTGACCGCCTGTTAACTGTGACTTTATTCTTCTAATCTCTTGAGAAACTATACAGTTGTGACTGTACTTGTGTATACTTTCAGTATGTTCACTTGGATGAAGTGAGAAAAATGCTGTGCCTTTGGCACAAGCACTACACATATTCCGATATCATTATAAGAACACATTGCCATTGCCCATATGACCCCAAAACGGCTATGGGACCTTTTACTATTCATGTATTCTCAGGTTTGGAGTCCAAGCTGCAAGGGACACACTCTTTGCTGCGGAGGATAACAATACATTTGGAATCCAAGTGGCAGAGAAGGTCGGCGAATCCCTGAACAAGCTCATGAAGGAAGCCACAGAGGCAGTAGACAGTGCCCGCAATGATGTCAGCATCGCCCAACAAGCATGCGATGCCGCAAGGGCAAACTTAGATTCTGCACAGGCCGATGTAAGTTGGCTAACACTCATTATCTATGTATCAATATGCACAAAAAGCGTGTGCAATATTACCTAATAATCTATGTCGATATACCTACCATTTATGTTTCCTTTTGATTTGATGTGATTTTCTGCATCGTATTATTATTTTTTGTTGTATTATTATGTTTTGTTGTATTATATGTTAGAAGATCGGTGGCATGTCAGGACTCGAACCCGGGACTCTAAGTTCCGAGTCGCGCACTCTACCGCTACGCCACACGACCCCGGTCTATCTTTAGTGGTGGTTATTTAGTCAAACGGTTACTAACACAACCCTTTGAATTTTGCTATAGCTGTTTAAGACACAGTCATCTATTTATCAACGACAATTGATAGTTGTAGTACTGTACTTTACCCAGAATGAGTTAAAATTGACCTGGCATTGTATCATGTATTGCAGTTCGACAGTGCACAGAGTGGCTATGAAAACGCAATTGCAAGTTTCACCAGTGCAAAACTGGACCTGGGAAATGCAAAGGCGGCGTTCGACAGCGCTGTAGCGGATCTAGATGAAAAACAGCGAAACTGCGATGCCCTTGATGACTGTCCTTGGTGTAAGAAATATCTAAGTAGCTTAGAAAATTTCTACAATGGCACCTCTGGGCTCACTATCAAACTTTTATGTCACAATAATAATTTAAAACTTACTTTCAAACATCTTGAGATCGTCAATGATAGGGATTTGTGACTAATCATCGATACATGACAAGTATTATATGGTGTGATGGTGTGGCTTGTAGGTTAAATATTACTTCTATCAGTGTCTTATTCTGACTGTGGAGGTCAAGCTTTTAGTAAAAGCCAATGTCAAAGCATACGTAGTAAATAAAAGACATGAAACGCCATTTATATGCGATCCTACATGTTGTTTAATTGTAGATGATATTCCGTGCCATACCGAGCGAGCAGCGTGCCTGGCTGCTTTGGAGGTAAGGTCAATCAGATGATGTTGTCGAATTTAGAACACCTTTGGTGAATAAATAGCTTAATAATACATAATTACAAGAAAGGCTAGCTGCAAAACTATGAGTTTTGGTAACACAAAATGAAGTCGTTGGAAACTATGGACAGGGGGATCATGGTTTACCTACTTCAATTGCCAAACATTTCTTTAGTTTTCTAGATTCATAATGTTTTTTCATTCGCTTATTTCCAAACTTATTTCTTGTGTTGAATTGGTTCATTTTGTTTAATGTCAAACTTCTTTAATATATTTACATAATTATCAATTGAATAAAGGAGGTCCTTCTATAAGCATATTAAGCTCTAGGCCTCAATTGCACTGTCATGTATCATTTATGTTATTATATTATGTTTTAATTTTATGTGCGAAATATCGTACATATGATGGTAGTAATCTATTCTTTGTACGTTCTGTACCAGGTTGCAAAGGTGGCAGTGGAAGCAACCAGGAATACACTGACTGTTACTGAGGCGGTCAATGCAGCTGCCCAGCAGGAGGTGGACAATAGTAAATGGACACTAGAAGCTGCCAGAGCTATTTTAGAAGCATCTCAAGTCGCTGTCCACGAGTCATGCGAGTGAGAGGAAACTTTTGTATTCTTTTAAAATTCTTTATTTCACTTTATTGCAATTTTATGCCCTATATGGCTAATTTCAATGATATTAAAAATGTTAGTTAACTTGACAATTGAAACTCAATTGAAACTTCACACGGTTCTTTTCTGTGCTCTTTTTGACCCACTATTTTCTATCTTGAGTGATATTGCTAACATACTTGATTGGTATATGTACTTGTTTACTGTCTGTACGTAAGCCATCTCAAACTAGTGAGAATTCATATTTTGGGACAATATGCGTGACTATATTCATGTATACATCGTCTTAAATATTTGATTATGCCATATATGTGTTCGTGGTCCCTACCTGCAACTGAAGACTGGCTTGTAGCTAATGGAGGATAACTCTTTATTGCCATAGATTTAAGGTCACTTTTGTTTATTCCTAGTATCGGCGTTGCTGCTGCAGAGGCAACACTAAATGCTACCCTGGAGGCCAATTCGTTTGGCCTCGAAGTCTCTCAGAAAGTCGAGGAAGACATTTTCGTAAAGGAAGCGAAGAAGGCATTGGACAATGCCCACAATGACGTCAGCATCGCCGAGCAAGCATGCGCTGACGCAGCAAGAAGTTTTAATTTTGCACTGGCTGATGTAAGTTTGTACAATCAACTAGCACACAACAATCTTTCCTAATACTATCATGAAAGTTCATCTGTGTTGGTAGTCACATGTTTAAAGTTAAAACTTTTGGTCCAACACAAAAAAATTCTCTCACCTAGAGCTTTCGACCAGTCACTCTGGTCTTCTTCAGTAGACTGACCCATTGAAGCTTGTCACGTGGCTTCTTTGAAGTGTGACGTCAACACTGGGTCAAAGGTATCTGGCAAACTCAGCTTCACTTCGTCAGTCTACTGAGGAAGACCAGGGTGACTGGTCGAAAGCTCTAGGTGAGAACGTTTTTTTGTGTTGGACAAAAAGTTTTAACTTTAAACAAATCTTCCCTCATCTAAAGATAATGACAGGAGTGTTCAATTGAAATCATTTATTGAAAAAAAAAGAAGATTAGAGCCCACACATTCTGCGTCTTTTATATACTTTTCAATGCTGACCCTGTATTATCAATTGTAGGTTAACACTGCACAAGATGAATATGACAACGCGGTTGCAAATTGGGAAGATCTGAGACATCCGTTGGAGACTGAACAGGCAAATGTCGACAACGCTGTTGCTGCACTGAACGAAAAGCTGCAAAACTGCGAGTCCCGTGACTGTTCCTTCTGTAAGTTAATTATCACATTTCAGGCCTCAAAATACTTGTGCACCTTAGTGCTGATTTGGAGTCGTGCAGTGTTTTTCTGTGCACCTGTTCACCCAGATATTTTGTACATATAAAATGTATGATAGTGTGGGATAGTCTTGGCATCTATGTATCAGAAAAATGATAAAATCCTGTTGTAGTACTTGTTTAAGATTTTAAAGTTAGCGACATTTTTCAGATTAAAGCTCAGAAGGGGAGCACTAAGACCTGTGATTATGTTTTGTTTCATATGGTGCACCCAAATTATTTTCGTGCACCCAATTCATTAAGTTGGGTGCACTAGTGCACCTATTCCCAAAAGTGAATTTCGAGCACTGCTTTTTGTACGTGCTCCTTTGCTTTGGTCAGTTGTAGACATTAGTTAGCAAACCTAGACAGTAATTACAAACAGAATAATTCCTAGCTAGCGATGAAAAGCTCTGACTAACAAAACAAATTCATTCTCACACTTGATTTATGTTGTACAATACAATTCAAGCATGGTACCATCCATGTGTCATGAACAATTGTTTTATGTATTGCAGTTGACGTTGTTTGTGTGGCTGAGCAGGCTGTGTGCACGGCTGGTGCGGAGGTAAGGCCATAAAAATTTGTTAACAAAAAATACTTTCATATGACCAGCATACTTGGGAAGAAATACGTTCATAATTTATTAGATATTTTTTCTTTACAAATTTATGTCAAATCTACAGGTATATAGTTTACAAATCTATGTCTAATCTACAAGTATATAGTTCCTGAGAACTATTGCCATCTAAGTCAGTGTCTTTCTTGCATGAGGAAAACTTTTCTTTTATTTTTTAAGAGAATGGAAGACCACCACTTCTACATGCAGTGCACACTGTTGTAAAGTCTGTTCTCACATGCTAGGTGCTAAAGACTGCAGTACAAGCTGCCGAGACGGCGCTAAACGCTGCCCAACTGGCCTTCAATGACGCCCAAGCATTGGTAGACAACAGTCTCCAGGCTCTTAATTCCGCAAATGATGTTTGGGATGAGACAAAAGACCTTGTGCACGACAAATGCGAGTAAGTAAACAATTTTTAGGTCAGCTCACCCTTTCTCAGTACACTGAACTGCTACAATGCCACTGTATTTGTTACTTTAGGTTGGCCTTATTATGTAATAGACCACATTCTCCTAGAGCGGCCATGTCATCCACCATTTTTGTTTTCATTAGTCTACACCTTGGAATAAACTGTGCTCGGTTACTCTCGGAAACATCACAGGTGACATCACAGGTGACTTTTACCTCTTCAAAGATGTCAATCCCGAGACCAGACTGTAAGGCTTGAACCATGTCGTCCGTCCGTCAGGTTGACGAGGACCGCTTTGTCATCCCTCTGTAGTAGGGTGTGTCCTCAGGTGACTGTAGTAGGGTGTGTCCTCAGGTGAACCACTCACACCGGGAAGGTCCCCTACTGTTTCGATAAGCGCGATGGGTTCTTTAACGTGCGTGGGGTGTGGCTCTCCCAAACACGGGACCTCCGGATCCATTTAACGTCCTATCCAAGAGACGTCCCTAGCCGAAGCTAGGTACTCATTTACACCTGAGTGAAGTGAGGAAAGTCGTTTAAAGTGCCTTTCCCAAGGGCACAAGATCGGTGATATGGGCAGGAGTCGAACCCACGACCTCTCGGGTGTGAGCCGAACGCGCTACCGACTGCGCCACACGACCCCACATTAGTGTACAATACGGAGATGTTTCTTAGCTGACCCTCTGTTGCTAATCCTGCTTTTTTCCTGTGTAATTTCAGTGTTGACTTGGCCAACGCACAGGAAGCAGTGGTTGCTGCACAGGAAATGTCAGAGAAGGTAAATAATATTTAGAAAATAGTCTAATAGTCGAACAGTTTCCAGTTGTATCCACTGTTAGAGCATTACATTACATTACCTACCTACCTAGTCCCATGACCGACATTACATTAACATTAGGATTAAGATGTTCCCAATTCTCTTGACTTCGATGCCTGACAGTGGGAGGACTGTTACCCTAGTTTCAAAATACGTTCAGTTTAGCGTTTCTCCTAGAATTTATTGAGAAAAACGAGATAAAATGTACAAATAGAAAAATTTTTTACGTGTTCTGAGAAAAATTTATTGAGAACATGGTTTCAAGAACTGTTATATTCCAGGAAGGCTGCGAATTTAACTGACCACCCAGACTGAACATTAACTCATCAATAATGTTTCTGACTAAACTGATCTTTTTATTATACTTACAGACAATACCATGACAAGCATACTAGTATGATATTGCATACCTAAAACTAAAAATGCCTACCTAGTTGCAATTATGAATAGCAATTGAAATGGAGTCTTTAACTCTTCCTCGATGTTGACAGCATCTTCTTGTAAGGAAGGAACAGGATCTTTCCGCATGCTTTAAGGTGTGCGTTTATGAAAGCGTTTGTAAAGCACTGCCAATGCTCTGGTTTAAGAATGATGAAGATGCTCAAGAACTATCTTGCCCATACAAATTGTACCGAAGCCGGTACACATACCTAAGTATACACATATTAAGTATGACATTAATGTATCCTGCCTTCGTCATTAGGCAACACTTAGGGCTCAGGGAGGAATGTTCGACATCCCGGACATGGACATTGGCGTTCCCTTGTTGAGCATCCAGGACATTGCTTTCAATACTTCTGTAGCCCAGGCAGAGACAGGAATCTTCGACGGCGTGATGACGGCATCGTTCTTTGGAGGCGATACCACGGTAACTTTCTAAATTGAACCTGTGCCTGTGTACTGTATACATGTACGTGCTTGAAGAAAGTTCTCACTTTTTATTATTGTTTTCATTCGCCCGTGGTGGTGAGTTTATTGCGGTAAATCCTGGTATAGAAGCTAGTAGCCTGCACTGTTGTATAGTGAATTACGTACATATCAAGGACATACAATCAATAAAAAATTATGTTCGATTTTTAAAATCTCCCAGTTTCTATTTTTATACATCAATATTTTAGAGGTTAGGTGTGCTTTATGATATTGTTTTAAGTTACCAGTAGTAGCTATGACAAAGCTTTCCCAATAAAGTCTACATCTTTTCCAGACGATGGGCATTCCAATCAACGTCTTCTCCATTGACGGCATGGCTAGCTCAATCATTGACAATATGGCCGACTTCCCGGGTGTGTATCTACCTAGATTCCTTTTTTAGCCAGATTCTTTTTTATTCTTAGTCCGTAGAGAGATCTGGTTGAGACTAGCAACAACCTACCTAAACACAAAATAAAGTAATAGCCAGCATGGGCTCATTATATTCCATCCCATGAACTCTGCATGGTAGCATAATGCTGCAAGTTTGATAAAAAAACTAAAAATTTTCCATGTGGTTCCCTTTTTTGTAATTAGTTCTACAGATACAGTAAACTCCCCGCTCTCGGTTGCTGTTTAGAGGTGTTTGTTTGGTATCTTAACTTAGACATTTTGCAACCGACCACCCAACTGCCTGAGGCCCTTCCACCCAACATCCTGAATGAGTCACTGCCACAATCAAGTACGTAACTTGGATTGCCATAATGACCTGTCAAAACATAATTATAAAATGTGAAATTACGAGAGAAACCAGGAATCTTGCTGGATGATCCAACATCTAAGGTTGAGAGTACACGAAACCAATGTATACTTCACAACAATTAGAACTAGTGTCCTGCTTAAAACATCTTTCTCTAAACATTTTGTGATTTCTGATTTCGTTTCAATTTCCCTTATTTAGGCGGCATCCTCCCCGAGCTACAACAGCTTCTCACCGGCCCAGTTGAAGATTCCTACACCGTCAGCGCAGACTGCAGTGTCAACCTGGCTCTCAGCGTGTGTCGACTTGACATAACTTCTAACCCTGATCACTGTCTGACTGTCCGCCTTCTCCTTTCAGATGTTCTTCCAAATCTGTCGCTAGAGGGCTATAGTAGTGGTGTAGCTTCTGATCTGTTCGACGTTGCAGTGTCGAGTTGCTACGTTGATCGCTGTGAAGAAGAATTGTCAGTTTTAGGAGGCTCCACGCAGCCCATCGTTATCGTACCTTCTCTTGTGACTCTTAACCCTTGTCCTGCGGGGCCCATATATATATGGGTTGCACATACAGTACCATCTATATAGTGCCCTGTATATGTGCGATTTGGGGGTGTTTCTTGTGCAACGCATCACACCACAGCGAAACGCAACGAATGCGGAAGTAACTACGCCACCGCAGGGCAAAAAAAGTCAAGGGTCTGTGACCTGGTTAAGACATGAAATTATTTGAAAATATTGTGTAAAAATTGCCAGCAGGACAAGGGTTAATGGATTTTCCGTCGATGTAACTTATATTGAGCCCTCGTCGTCTTTCAATGCTCTGTTTAGCGGTATGTGGAACATCGGTGATGTCAACTTCAATGTTACATTAGAAAAATCTGACGATGGTTTTACCCTCAGTGGCTCAGCAGCAGAAATTTCTGTCACCACTAACAGACTCATCTCTGGACTTTCCTCATTTGTTCCAGGTAATGACGTAAACGGCTTATTTAATCTAATGAAGCTTGGCAGCATTTCTGTTACAGACATTAATGTTGAGGTTAAGATCAGTGACAACGGATATAGTATGAAGCTAGATTTCAAAACAAATATTCTTGACTCGCAGGTCTTCTTTTTCCTGAGCTCAACTGAGTCAGATGATGGTTCATCCAGCCTCTCGTTCTCTTTGGGCATGTCTGTCAAGTCTGTCCTCTTCGGTGATCTTATTCGAGATGTAGTAGATGAAAACGTTGTAGTACCTATCCTCAGTGATTTAGACTTTTCTGAAGCTGCCTTGCTCGCAACGACAAGCCCACAAGAAGCTAGCTACCCAAACCCGCTTTCGAACGACGTGGCGACAGAAATATCTAGTGGCCTGGGCGTCGCCTTTACCATGAAGCTGTCTGAAGTCGTCCCTTTCGGTACCTTCTTCCTTGGTGTTGATGGCAGTACCTTCAAATTCAAGGTCCTTTCTGAGGGGCCGATTCCTGTATCAGCCCTAGTGAGCAAAATCATTTCTTCTTTCTCGTCCATCAATCTGCCTTCTCAACTCACGGTAGCTGATATTCTCGCTGGCTCTCTGAAGAGTTTCGAGTACAACGCTGACAACGACGACATGTCGGTTTCTGCAGCTATTGATGACTCTATTGTTATAGTACCCAGCATTCTAACACTAGATGACCTTTCAGCAACTTTTGATATAAAAAGTGTTGAATCCCCACCAGCTACAAATCATGACTTCAGCTTTGAATTGGATTCTGTTTGGGACATTGGTGGTCTTGAATTCACCCTTTCAATTGCTCGTGAACCAGTCAGCCATGATATTTCTGCAAAGGGTTCTTTACAAGATAATCTACCAGTAGGTTCCCTAATTCAACAGTTTGGAGTGTCATTTCTCCCATCTGTGTTGAACAATATTCTACAGAACGCAGGTTTCGACAGCTTTGTAATTGCAGACCCGAGTGTCTCTATAATTCTGGGAGACGACTGGTCAGTCCACGTTTCTGGCACTGCAGTGATCAATACCTGGCAATGTTCAGTAGAAACACTCGTTGGTAGAGTAACTAATGACTTGGTCATGGCCGCAGGTATCACTTTGTCGAGTGTTGGGATAATTCCTGCTGTAAAAGGACTAACGGGAGGCGCCCTTGATATTGGGGGGATACCAGGTGCAAGTATTTTGTCCAATGCTCAGGTCGCATTTGTGATCTCTGCTGGTTCTATACCTGCAGATCAGGGTTTAACAATCTCCTCCCCACTCCTCACCGATGTTAACATTGTGGAGGGTGTCAACCTTGCAGCGTCTTTTACACTCCCAACCGACTGCGGGCAGGACGACTTTTGCAAAGTAAACAAACGACTCTTAGGGGCTGACATTGAGTTGAGGCTTTTTGCATCTCTGACCACTACCAGTGACCTACACTTAAAGGCTGTAGTAGGGACACCTGTCACAATATCTGACGGTATTGTCATGCAAAACGTCGGGTTTGAAATCTTCGTCGGAACTAAAATGTCAATAGGTATAACTGGCTCTCTCGAGTTTGAAACTCCCCCTGTGACTTTGACCGGTGGCATCGGCCTCTCAGAAAGCGGGGTGTACCTCCAAATGTCCACGCAGGGTATGTGGAATCAAGCGTTTGGACTAGATTTCCTTTCCATTGGTAACATCAACCTGGAGGTTTCCATTGCACCCGAACCCACCGTTATTTCTTCTTTGCAATTCGGTGGCCGGGCTGTGATTGGGTACCAGAACGACCCAAGTGCTACTCCTATCACAGGCGAAGGTTACATAGGCGTGGATATTGTTAACCCAGGAGAAGACTACTGCATGGGATCAGTAAGCGCTCTGACCATCCCGGCTGTTCTTAGTGCTTTTGGCCAGAACCTCCAGCTCCCCTCTTTCTTGTCGGACATTGGTTTTCCTCAAGGTGTCAACTTTTCCTTTTCACCCATTGTCCAAGCTTTGCCCAATGGTGTTACTATTCAACAGGGCTTCTTCTTTAGTGGCACTATGGAGATTCTATTCTTCAGTGTTACTGCTGATTTAAAAGTCGATACAACATCCCTTTATGCCAGCGTCACAGTGACACCGTTCACGATAGGTAACGGCTTGATCCAGGTGTCTGGTTCAAGCTCGGATACTGGTCCTGTCCTGTTAGTTGATATTGGCTGGGATCCCCTCAAAGCAGAACTTCGCATCGACGGGAGCGTTTCTGTCCTAGGCATTCAGGCAAGCACCACGATTACCATGGACAGCACTGGAACTCGCTTTTCTATCGAGGGGAACTTTCTCAATATCTTCTCTGCCTCTCTTGACATCAGTGCCAACTATGGATCTCTGAGGGAAGCAGACTTTATGGTTGCTGGAACATTCAAGAACGATCTTTTCAGGTATGTTTTTTATGCTTGAAGAATGACATACATGGCATATATTCATATTTCATTGTACGTAAGAATTGCTCTTCTTCCGACCTATCGTCTATTATTGTATAGTCTTTGAAAGAAAGTTGGATTTCAGGGAATTACGTTGGTGTGTCAGTCTGTCTGTTTGTGTTCCCGCACACTTGGTCAGCAATAACTGGCAAAATTTTGGATGCAGGTTGGTTTTGGAAAGAAAAATTTCAATATCAAATTTTGGGGTTTCCTTGTAACTTCCTGTTTTGCATCTCCTGTTCTGCACATGTTTTGGTGCTCTTTCAAATGTATTTTGATATAGGAAGTTCAGATATAGAATATTATCAGATATCAATGATGCAAATATAGACCTGATTTGCATAACTAATGCAAGAAAATCTATAAAAGTGTGAAATAATGGAAATCCCATACTTGTTACACATATCACGTAGTTATATGTGAACATAATGTATATGTATTATGCATGTAAATGTGGCCTATGTTCATAGCACACTTCAGGGGAAGATTGAAACTGCACTGAACAATATCATGAACGAGGCCAACAGTGCACTAGAAGATGCCAAGAACGACGTCGCAGAAAAACAACAGGCCTGTGATGATGCCAGAGGACCTTTTAATGATGCACAAGCCGCTGTAAGTTGACTCGTCGTTTGCTTCCATTTTGAACCATTTTTTGTGGAATCACTTACATGTATGTAAAATCATTGAGCCCACGTTCTTTTAGTCTGACGAGATTTAGACTGGTCCTACCTTTCTTTACAAATCAAATCGAATTTGAGGTAAACTTCAGTCCAATTTTCCAACACACTGCTAACCTACTCCTTGAACACAATTCAACCCGTGACCATGACCAAACTTGCCGTCTGCACCTGAATTCGTTTGAAATATTCGGCTTGGTGCAGCTTGACGCCAGCCGACCTTGCTCCTGACCTACTCCTAGCAAGGCGATATAAGCTCCTTGCTCCTAGCCATGGTTGGGGGGAGTTTGGTAGTGTTCGGGTGTCTTATGTGTAACAGAGGCTTTAATGAAGATGTTCAATGTTCTGTTAACATAGTATTACGTTTGTAGTGAGACACGGGCCCCATATGTTCATCAACATGGCGTTCTAACAGAATAATCATATTCCAAGATTAGTACCTGAGCGTTTATTTAGGACTTTCAACTAACATGGAAACACTTGTATAGACCATGACATTATATTTACACAGGTTGACAGCAAGAAAAGGGACTTCGACAATGCAGTGGCAGCCTTGCAGGCAGAAAAGGCTAAGTTCGACAGTGCTGTCCAAAGTCTTGATGACAAACAGCAAGAATGTGACGGCATGGACTGTGCGTGGTGTAAGTCATGATTTGACTGTTGTTGCTAGTCATTGGACTCAAGTTGCCAATAAACAATGTCTAAATTATACTGAAATCTTTTAAATCATCCGTTTGTTTTGACCACTCATATTCAGAATCTCAGCAAGCAAGCATGAGCAGTAACTAGATGTGTAACGAATGGTATTTGTTGTACACGTAATGCCTATCTTATATCGCCACAAACAGATAATATACCCTGCCAAACGGAGAAAGGCGTGTGCATAGCGGCTTTGGAGGTAATTTTCATTTCTGTCCGTGTGTGTGTGTGTGTGTGTGTGTGTGTGTGTGTGTGTGTGTGTGTGTGTGTGTACGTACATGCGTTCGTATGGGCGGGCGTTTATGCGTATGTTTATGCGTATTTGTGGGTGTACCTTTGTGCATGCGTCTGCGTGTGTGTGTCCGTGCTTGTGCGTGTGTATGAATGAATGAATGAATGAATGAATGAGACTTTATTTTCGTGTCGTGCACTTTCCCGCGCCCAGCCCGCGTGGGCTTATACGACACCGATTCAATAAATTATACATAAACAAAAGAGAATCAAAGGTACAGATAACAGAATCCAAACAAAATATGTGTATGTGTATACGTATATGTGAATGCGTTCTTGTCTGTCCATGTAGATTTAATTGAATCTGAACATGTAAATTTATTTGTCTTTTCTACCATATCATTAGATAGCCAAGGGGGCTGTCGAGGTCGGAAAGGGATCATTGAGTGCCGCACAAGGGGTTGTTGACGCCAGTAAATTGACCCTTGACGCTGCTATTGCTACTTTGGAAGCGACATCAACTGTAGTCCATGACACATGCGAGTACGTCACTGACGTATCCTATCGTATCCTGTCTTATCATTTGCTTCATTTTTTGTCCCGACTACCCCAGTTCACTTTACATTATGTACTTATTGTTGCCTTTTGATTTAATGCCTTGTATGACACTAAATTGAACAGACTGGTGGCCGAAATATAAATGTGTTTATAAACAGCTACCTCGTGTACTTGGTAGAAATGGCAGTTACGTTTCCTAAATGAAATGGTGTACTATCATAATAGCTGTGTACGTAATACATTGTGCACCTTCAACGTTTTGCAAGTAAGTCACCTGCATAATGTTATCATGTTTCAGTGTGGCTCTTGTTGCGGCTGAGGAGGCCTTGACTCTCGCTGAGGAAGCCAACAAGTTTGGAACTAAGATCGCGGAGAAGGTATTTTAATGATATTTTGTGCTTGTCCGCAATAATTCTAGTTTCATAAACGCTGCTGTCTATGTTCTGAAAACCTGTAATGGCCATTTCTTGCTTTGATTTATTTTAACTATTACATTTGGAGGGTTGTGTTGATTATCATTGTTATTTCTGTTTTCATGATGATTTGATGATGCATGTACGGGTAAAAAGGAGGTTTAATTGAGGGTATTCTATTGTATTAAGTTGGGTCTGTTCATACCAATTTCAGGTTGTGGACACCGTCTTTGGCACGATTGACATTCAGGAGCTGGGCTTCAGTGTGGAGGTAGCCGTGGCACAGACAGGACACTTCGATGGATGGATGGTGGTCTCATTCTTCCACGAAGCCGCTCAGGTAATTTTTTCAATGTTACTTTAACTTCCCCCACCATGTGGTGCGTAGGGCGGCGCCAATCCCCGGTTCAATAGCCATTGGGCTACACAGTAGTGCCATCACTACAGCAATGGGCTAGTTCACTGGTAGTGGGGTGACTTTAACCCCCATACTCTGTTCCAGGTGCTAAGTGCTAAGCCGCGAAAGTAGTATGCACCAATTTAAAGTCTTCGGTATGTCTCGGCCAGAGATTGAACTGAAAACTTATCGAATGCAAAGAGAAACCCTTTACCCACTTCGCCACTCCATGGCCACCGGCTATGAGCTAGTAAAAGCTATTGAGAAGATATTGTTTGTTATCAGACATAACAAGTCAGCTGACAACTTGCCTGAATAAAAGTGGCCAGGCAGTTGGGTAATATGGCAATTGATGCTGATAATTGAAATTACATGCTCCTGTTAAATTCTGTATATTCTAAGTTGGTAAGGTTATATATAGTATATATAGTAGAGGGGATTCATTCTTCAAGCTACCGACATCTTGCACACGCAGTCTTTCCTCAGCAAGACATCTGGAGCCGCATAGATTTTTAGGTCGTTTATTTAGCCTGACACAGTAAGTTGGTAAGGTTGCCCTTTAGTTAAAGCTCCGAAGCTAAAGTTTCTGTGTTTAAATCCCTGGAAGGCCACAGAGTATCATTTACACCTATTTCCTCACTCGACAATGGTGAAAATGAGTACCTACATGTACATGTAGATTTGGTCAGGGACGTCTTCTCGAATAGTACGCAGATCAAAGGTCCCGTTTGGGGGGAAATCCACTTCTCGAGCACGTAAAAGATCCCACCACGCTCATAAAGAGTAGGGATCCTTCATTGTGTAAGCGGTTCAAACATGACAGTCTGGTATCAGTGCTGACATGATGAATTAAAAAGGGGACAGGCTAATCTTCCACAATGTGTGGTCAATCTAGATCAATATATAAAAGTAATCCTCGTTGTTTTCGTTATTCACCAGCGATACGACATCACCTTCCAACTGCTGTCCATTGACGACATGGTGAGTGACATAGTGGACATCGTGGAGAACTACCTAGGGGTGTAAGGACAGCAAGCAGCCGAGGAAAACACCGAAGAAAGGCAACGTTGAATCTCTCTCTAACGACCAAGGCTTCATGATGTATTGAACATTATATTTTCGCTTATGCTAGCCATAGGTTTCAGTTTCGTTTACGTTCACGTCTATGTCTATCTATACTGACTTTGAGTTGCTGATAATTGCACATGGATTTTATCTAGGCATATTATAACTAGGTATGTTATAAAAATAGGTATGCTATAAATGACAAACTCATGTTATAAATGCGATATGATAGACTTACATTATTTTTAGCACCAGTGATATGCAAGATATACGAAGCTGGAAACCTTGAGAGTGAAAAAACAACAACTGGGGTTTTATTCTCTACCTCAAAAGCTGATAAACGTGAATACAAATGTTCATTCGACCATATGTACCGTAAATCTTGCTTTTTCACACGCCTGATATTACAGTAATAGTTTTATGACTACAAGTAAAACTTACTTTGAATGTGATACCATAGAATTCATTCTAATGTAACGTTATTGAGAATGCAGATATCGACATGTTTATTTGCTTTGTAGACTACGAGCTTGATAGCAAGAAATACCCTATAAGAGGAACTAATAATATAGATCTAATAACAACATACGATAATGAATCTATAAGGTTAGTTAGCATAGAAATGTAGCCGTACGTACATGTATCTAAGTTAACACTTAAACAAAAAAGTTACTATATTCAATCAACAGTACTCTTGCATTACTGATTAGCATTATTCATTTCATATTGCCTATCTAGTGATCACTTTCAATTCACTTTCAATTCTTCCTAATTTGAACAAAATTAGTGGCTTATATAACTATGTAGCTGTTTCGCTGAGATTGCTAATGATGGCTTTGCAGGTGAAACTGTATACACCAGAGAGATGACTGCAATGGTTGGAATATCTGGGAGAGGATAACTAGAAGTCATACTAATGTATAAGCACTCTCTCTTTAAACCACCTAAATATAGTAGTATCTATAACTATGTAGCTGTTTCGCCGAGTGATGACTTTGCAACTTAGAATCTGTATACACCAGAGAGGTTACAGCAACGATACCAAATAATTGGTATATCAGACTATGGTATGAGATAACGCGAAGTCGTCAACATTAATCAGCAAATGTTACTGTTTCCTTTTTATTCTGCGGCTTTGCTGTATTTATTCAAGACATGATAATATAGAGAGGAGTTGATCCCTGTATTTTGTGTCTGAGAAACATCACATCATGTACGCACATTATCGTGCGTCCCTGTTTCAACTTGTACATCATCTAAAGTTTGAATAGACACACTTATGTGGAACCTCTTCAAACACTGGTCCTGTCTTTTCTTTTATGATATCTGGTTCGTTTTTCGGGGCAAAAGTGAATTTCATCCTTTTTTTTAGAAAATCTTAAAAGCAGAAGTGCGGTATTTTCTGACAGTTACATGTGCCAAGGGAAATGACGCAATGGTGGGATTGTGCTTAGGGTTGTCAACTTAGAACCTGAAAGTTCTGGGTTCAAATCCCTGTACGTTTCCACTGTCCATGGAAAGACACTTAACATCTATTACCTTTGCTATAGTTTTTAAATATTTTTTTTTAAACTTACGGTATTTATCTGCAGTTTTGTACGATTTACAGTATGGTGGAAAAAGTTATTTTCTTTTTGGAAACGGCCGAGAATTTATGCGTGCGCGGATGTCATCCATATAATCAAAGCAACATGGCCTTAGGGGAAACAAAAAAAAAAAAACAGATCTACTCGGTGGCAAAATCGATGCACGGGGTTATATCCGGTAGAAGATACGGCCTGGGAGTGGATGTCGACTCAAAATAACACACTATAACGCTACAGGTGCGAGTAGGAAGCTACATTGAAGAACAACAGTGGATTAGTGGGACATAGCTAGCCAAGAGTTTCAGAGTGCGGCAACGAAATAAAGGATCGGACTCCTCAATACGATACGCCAAAAAGTAGTTACTCAAGAAATTGGATATGATTTTGGAAACGGTCAGACGTTTTAGCTTGTATCCACTAGCTTTGGTCAGTGGATACTAGATGAAACGTTTTAAAAATCATAATATATTATCCAGTTGCTTGAGTAACTGCTTTTTTGGCGTATCGTATTCCCTGGATGTCTAACCTTCATCGACGACTCCTCACGTAACTTGTTTTTGGACTAGTTCAACCGATTAAAGTAGGAAATGATGACCAAAATGTGCTAAGAAATGGCACTAAATTTTTTATGTCAGACAGATCTCCTCATCCAAATTTTGTTATTTTGCCGCCCTAAAATTGATTTTGATACCTTAAAACGATTCATTTTCCACAGGGCCTACAAAATAACCAAGATAAAATATATTCCATACCTGCCGCTCCAGTGTTAACGTCCATGGCACACGAAGAACACGTTGCATGATTTCCCGGTACCCATTACATGCTGTAAAAAATGGGCAGCTATAGCTAAAAAAAAGTGCAGCTATAGCTAGACCATGTAGACAAGCTGATCGGGAGTATGGTTGGGAATGTGATGGAGGCGACGGGACGTAATCCGTTCAACTTACGCCTGAACACCGGCAACTGCTTTTACTTTAGTGGCGGCACCGAGGCACATATTGTACACATTGTTGATGATATTGACAGGTACTCGATATCCGGTTTAGCCTTTTGTAACTTTTGAAGATTCAATGTTTCTAAAGACTGGCAGGTGTCGCTTCTTCCTGGACGACTAAAGCATATTGTGAAGCATATGATATAGTGCCACATGTGGTGTATGTTCTTGTGGACTGGTCCAACAGAAAGAACGTACACGTACAATAGATCCATGCCAATATAGCTAGATTACAAATACTACGTTATCTGACTAATGCGTTGATGATTTAAAACGTCCTTACAACTAAGAAAACAACTGACGCAATTGCTGAATTAGACATGTTTTTTTTTTCTCTCATCGTGCCAGAAATCTGACAATTACACAAAAATGGTGTGGTCGTAGGAAACATTTTCTTGCTACAGAAAAAAATGAGTCTAGTATAGAAAACAATATACAGTCACGTAATACTATATGCTCTTATTTATGGAATATTGTCGTATAGCCAGGTGATGTTCACCAATCAGAAGTCTCCATTAGCAGGTTGTCAGAACACCCTAACCTACCCTTAGGTGAAAAATCATCTCGACCAATCAGCGTCGACCGCATTCTGTTCAAATGACGTCAGATCAAACATGATTCGGGGTTCCGCCATCTTTGCGGAGAGAGCACGTCATAAGGTCGCAGAACAGTTTATAAACGTTTCGTAGTTGTGACGTTCTTATTTTTTTTTGATTGTCTTTGTTGTGTTTAAACAAAACATAAAGTTTTAGACCACACCACTGAATCGTTGAGTCACCATAATGGTCATACCGGTAAGCCATTTACAGTGATGCCTAGAGATGTGGGGCAAAGACCGGTAATGGTCTGTCCCATTGAAATGTATGGAAAACATGTAAGAAAGAAGGTGTAAAAAGTCACCTGCCTGAGTGAAACCGCATAAAAACCACACATTCAATAAACTGTCAATTTTGTTGATATATTAAAAAAATCCTATACTGCTAAAGGCATTCAAACACTAGCACAAACTTTCAGAAGTGACCTCTGACCTCTATCACCAGCTGATGATAGCATGGAAACTCAGGACTTCTTTTCTGACCTGGACACACCAGACATGGCACAAACTCCATTTTTTTACATAATCAAATGCAAATAACCCTTACCTATAACATCCAGCTCCAAAAAAGCAACAGATCCCAACATTAAGACATTTTATACTGTTTCGTACATGCGGTATCGCATGCGCGTAATCCTGGCATTTTCCCTGTGCCTTTTTTTTCCAAATAAGCCACGCGTGCTTTAACCACAAACTACATACGTGTATTGTTTCGAGTTCTCTTCAGTGTATATTAGACCAAACTGCACACTTGTCAGCTAGTCTCAGTATGTTAAAACCATCTCCCAAAAATTATACCGACAAAAGGTGGAATTTAAGGCAAAGCATATTTCCAAATAAATTCAGTAAATTTTAATTATCATCAAATGTATTCAGACATTATTTTGAGTAATATTTTTTTGACATTTATTTCCTAAAACTATGTGTTGAACTTTTACTTTTATTGAATATATAGAATTATTTTAAAAACAATTTAGTAAATCATATAATAATTGGACCTTTTCAGCAAAAGGGTTCTCGAAAAATTCATACAGTTACTGTACTTTATAGTAACAAATACACTCAAGTACAAATACACTCATAGTAACAAATACATTCAAGACCCACACGTGATGCTTGGTATCTGCTTGGAGATTACCTTTCGATGCTATGCAGTATTTGCTTAAATGTCATCAATCCATACCACTATGTATCTGCTTGGAGATTGCGGCTCCATACAACCCAATGTCTGTTTAATTATCCTTATAACTTTAATCACATTATCAGCAAGAAAATAAACTACTCCCATCTGATGTGTAATACATTCACAACTATCAAACTCGCAAACGTCCCGATTTCCATATCCCCCTAGTAAAAACTTCTCTTGCCCAAATGTCGGTTAGATACAAAGGTGTCACCTTATGGAATGAACTAACTCCAGCCCTAAAGAATCCTACCTTGTCTCTGCTCTCACTCAAACTAGCTCTGAAAAACCATCTGATAAATGAACCTAGCCCCCTGTAGTAGTTTCATTTGGTGTTTTTCTCTTATTTTAACTCATACCAATTCTTATCATTATCATTATTGCGCTGTATTTACAACTTACATTACCTTATTTCATTGTCATTAATTTATACCGAACAAATTTGATTATCCTTACTGTATTATTTCCATTTTAGATTATATTATATTATTTCAATTTATTGATTAAATTTAATTTTGTATAGTTTAGAGGAGGAGGGCCCAGTATAAGCATTCAATGCTTCTTCCCTCCTCCTGCACCTGTTTTATCCTTATTTTGTATTATTATTGTCTATTCTGTTTATGTGCAAACTAATAAAATCAAAAATAAAATAAAATCAAAAATACTATAACTAGGTCAGGTGTGGCAAATATGGTCATGCATACCATATATGATAAAATCCCAAATAAAACCACATTAAAAGCCTGTATAAAAAATTAAAAAAATTAACGCCTGAGGGCATTTTTTCACTCTACCTTCGTACAAAAATTTAGGCCATATAGCCCCAAAATTAAGAAATTGAATCCATTTGACGAAAGATGAAGAAGAGAGATGATGTAGGGTTGGTATGGGTTGGTATGATTACGTCAACGAAGTATGAACCAGTACGCGAATGATACACGCAACTATATTTATATTTATATAGCCGACGTAACCACCTTTCGGCGTAACTCATTTTCTTTATGTTGCTGCTCGTTTATGCCAGCAATTTCTTACACATTTCTCTTATTAACCATGGTAGGCGGCAGATGTAACACATTTTAAATGTACACCCAGCGTCGTCCCATATCAGAATTTGCCGTAGTACAAGCCAGCATATGCTTGCCTTTTGTAGAATGTATGCAGTGAACTGAGTTCTGGAGCTGGAGTTGCATAGAGCCTTCTGTGTCCTAAACCGTGCCTCAGTCCCCAACCGTGCCTGTCCCCAACCATGCCTGTCCCAAACCGTGCCTGTCCCAAACCGTTCCTGTCCCAAACCGTGCCTGTCCCAAACCGTGCCTGTCCCAAACCTTGCCTGCCCCAAACCGTGCCTGCCCCAAACCATGCCTGAGCGGACACAGAACGGGACACAGCATAACAGCCCAGAACCGTGCCCGGAAGTGCTGTCAATCATAGTGATTGGCGGGGCCAGGCACGGTTTAGGACAAGGTCATCGCGTGTCCCGAACTGTGCTCAGTCCCCAGGCACGGTTTTGTACACGCGCCGAGTGTCCCAAACCGTGCCCGGGCATAGTTTGGGACAAGGCCATCGCGTGTCCAGAACTGTGCTCAGTCCCCAGGCGCGGTTTGGACCAAGGAACAGTTTGGGACACAACAGAGCGCCGGTAGCGCGAGTGCCGTCCTGTGAACGAGCTTCGGATCGCGGAGGAGGTATTTGTTTGAACAGGCAAAAATAAATTAATGTGGCCTTAGGCAGGGGAGGATTGGCAGATGTACGGATTTTTCGCATTACAGTCAGCGTCGTCCCACATTGGATCGGCGGTACGTCCTGAGTACCAGTACTGGACGCATAGCGAATCCCCGGACCCTAGATATTTGACGCTTGCTGGTTCACCTGGGTGCCAACCCTAAAAGAGAGGATTAATTCAACAATGTAAGACATGTCATGATTACAATATTTACCTTACTGGAGGAAATCACTTACCAAAAAAATGGATCCTTAAATTGTCTGTTTACGATGAATACGTGGAACAATGTACCATGCCTCGTGCGCGACTGCATTTGAAATCAGTAGAATTCAAATGTAACGAGGACAACAATTATCTTGAAAGTTCATCTGCCTTGGTAAAAATCATTATAAAGAAAGTTTAAAAAGCAACAAGGCAAGTTTAAAAACTGTAATTTCCAAAACAAAAAAAAATTGACTCACCAAAAATTTAGACTGTACGAAGAATCGCGTCTTTGTCAATTTTGGGTGTTCATTCCTTGACAAAGACTGGAGTTGTACAGTCAAAAACTTGGGTGAGTCGAATTTCTTGTAATGAAAATTGCAGTTTAAACTTGCTTCATAATGAGGACAACAATTATTCGAACACCAATAAAGAATAATAGTTATGAGAAGATTGATAGGGGCGATGGAAACAGAATGCCTATTTCCCATTTAAAATTCAAATATTGTGACAGGAATGCCAGCAGGACAAGGGTTAAGACAATAACGTGCCCAAAACACGAAATATCACACGCACATAATATCCATTATTGATCTTCATTATTATTGTCTGAACCCCAAGATACTTACCAAATATCATTACAATATACCCCGACTTATGACCGGTTAAGAACAAGACAATTCCCATGTATGATGTATATGTACCTACGACATAACCTCCTCGACGAAGGTGATAAGAATGTGCAACAAACAAGATGAAGACCAGAGTGACTGGTCGAAAGCTCTAGGTGAGAGATTTTTTTTGTGTTGGACCAAAAGTTTTAACTTTAAACATGTAACTACCAACACAGATGAACTTTCATGACAGTATAAGATGAACATTAATCGACTATTGTTCTTGTCAACAGAACACGTACCCTGTACTGTCCCAGGGGTAAACCGTCCACCGACTTTAATTCGTACATATCGAAGCGGATGCCAGTACCGATCACCCTCATCCCGATCCAAGTCTGATCGAAGTTGCCTCCTGATGTTTTGACCAGGTGTCTTAGAGCGTGGTCCCATTCCTTCGTTTTAGGCATGGCTAGAGTAGCCCCTTCCTCCACACAGGCCTGCTCTGCGTCCGGAAATGACTTTTGGATGGGAACAAGTCGGATACAGCGCCACCCTACTCGTATGTAGCCATGCTGGCAGCCATCAGTTCGCACGTTTGAGCCAACTGATAGTGCATAAATATAGAATAGGTAACTATTAGCCCACTACTCACAAAAAAATTATTATAGCAAAAAGTATTTTCTGTTCGTGGAAACAAGTCGAAAGGGAAATTTCAGTTATGGACTAATATGAAAAGAGACATTTCCCCAAATACACCTCAATACACACTCAGCAAACACATAAGGAAGCTTGGAACTGTTGTATGCATGAATTAGCTGTAGTCGTTAACACAGTCATGCTTATATCGTTATATGACCTCAACCCCATTCCTTTCGCAAATATCTACCTGCAGTTCCGAAGAGGCTTGTTCCGAAGTTGTGCTATTTGTATTCCGTCCCTCAAAACGTATTAACGGTGCTACTGTATAAACTGAATGTAGTGAAGGCCTACCCGAAAGTACATTGACCTCACACAGGCTCAGAATCCGGTTGTAACCGGGAAGACGGACGCCCACATACCGCCCCTTCATCCCCTGACATGAGACCGAAATGGACGGTTTTTTTACGTCGATTCGGTGATCACCACCACACCTGGGGTTCGTGCTGACCTGGTCGGAATCGCCGATGTGAATGTTGAAGGGGTTGAGTCGTTCCTGACAGCAGTCCATCCGGTTGAAGATGAGCACCCTGTATATAATAAAATACATATCAAACAACCAACCTTAAAAGTGAATTATCGAATCGTCTTGTAAGCTTAAGAACAGTTTGTGTTTATCTGTGTGGTTGTGTGTGAGTGAGTGAATGAATGTGTTTGTGTTATCCTCTTTCTCCCACTGTGTCTCATTGTCTCTCTCTGCCTTGTGTCTCTTTCTCTCTCCCTCTCAATATATATATATATATATACATGTCCGTACCTTTCAATCGCATACGGCTGGCCAAGGTCCACCCACCAGCTTGGATTAGTTTCTCCTGCAGCTGTAGTGTGTGTGCAGGATCCATGGTAGTGGTTGGAGTCAGTGTTTCCGTCTACAGCAAGCCTGGCATTCCATTCTTTCCCCAGAACGTTTTCATTACTTGATTGAACCGCTGTTTTACCCAAGGCAATATTCACTTGTGCCTCGGGCGAGAGAACTGTCATGTCCCAGTTACAGCTAGACTGAACCGCTGACTTCTCAAAGGCAATATTAACACCTGCATCAGGCGAGAAGACTGCAATTAGCAGTGTCATAGTTACATTCATTGGTGACTCAAGTCAACGTCTAATAATCGGGTTTGGACCATATATGCAAATGCACCCAGGGCCACAAATTACCAGAACACGTCATGTATGCTTCTGTTCACGATGCCAGAATCTGCATTACCCCTGTACACCCTACTTTAGTCCTATTCAACCTGAATATTCTCCATCATCACTCTGGCCTTTTTGAGCTATTCTGACACACTCTGAACATTGTCCGTCATTCTGGCCTATCTCAGCTCTTCTGACATATTGTGAACATTCTCCAACACACTTTTCGGTATTGTAAAAAAGAAAGAATTAAATCGTTGGATCACATGACACACCATACAACGGTATGTTACGAAAACGTTGACATTGAGCGTTACATACCAGTCCGTGTTGAAATCCGGTACACTTCATTTGCCCAAGTCCCGCCTTTGCCGTCCGCTTGACAGGCGGTGGAACGGCCGTACTTGCAGTAGGTGTTGTGCCCGTCAGCAGACCCGAAACACTGCCCGCCATACTGTACAGCAAACACGGTAAAGGACCGAGATTTTGCTGCCTGGTAACATTTCTCGACGGCGTTACTCCGTGTTTTGTAGTTGTGCATGTCCCCCAGGCCTGAATCTAGCCCCTCTAGTGTTGGAATGGCACGACTACTGTGGTCCTTCCAGCAACCCAGGCTATGGTAACGATCTCCTGTGTGGGGAAAGAAAGATGCAGCATTACCGTCGACAAAAGTGACGGCTATTCCAGGATCATGATAAACCATTCTAGTACATGTCGCTAGATGGCGTAGTTGATACGTAAACCTGGTGCTATTTCGCCACATGTCGCTAGATGTGTGATTCATCATTTGTTCAAACTGCAAGTCCTGTCAAAGTCGGCAACGCAACAGAAAAATGCCTGCTCCATTTTAGCGATATTTACCACGAAAATAACGTATGTGGTTTACATTTCCTCTGATGTGAGTTTCTAGGACCCAAAGCCTCTTAAAAAGCAGAAATTTGCCCACGAAAACGGTCGGGTGAGGCGCGAAAGGTCGAAGGTCATAGGACACGTCCTTTGCGCAATCACCTTAAAACGCAGATTTAGCTAATTTTAGGGGATTTCAAATTAATACAATTACATTATCGATTTTTAGGCAAACAAAAGGATAGAAACCAATCCAAATGTGCAGATTAATTTTTTTTTCCTTCAGAAGTTTTATTTTTATTTTATAAATTCAGAATGCAGCAGTTAGTTTCTTAAATGTTTTCACAAATACAAAAACAATATCTTTCTGTCATCTGTAAAATTTCTACCACAATTTTGCTGTTTTCTTAAATGTGACTGAAGACAAAACTAAAATCAAGATATCTACTTTACATGTACGGCTCTATAGCCTGTTCATGTATAGGGTGGCATATGTACAGCATTATCTCCAAGTAGATGTAGAAGAACATGTCTTTAACAAGAATTCCGAGAGTTTTTATGAATGTTTTTCTTTGTCTTATTGACTATGGAAATAAGGTCGTAATTAGCAAAATCTAGTATAATTGATGGTTTTCTTAATTCAAATGACAATATTTTTCGTGTAAAATTCTTCTCCTTTGTCATATATCATTTCAACATGTCCTCATAAATTGCAAATGACTCCCAAATTAACATAATATATGCATAGTGGTGTTAACCTTCAAGTAACTTACACATGTCACAAGGTATAAAATTCCCATCATTCACCAAGTCACAGAATTTTCACATTTATTATGCAAATCAGGTCATAATTGGCATAATTCCGCCTGCCACAGATTGAATAGATTACATGTATAAAAGTATTATTATATAAAACACTGTAATCATATAGTTTCCTCCTTAATTATGCAAATTAAGTCTTTATTTGCATAATTTACATTTAATTATGTAAAACTCTCTCTCACCTACCTACACATCAAAATGGATGAAAATACGTTGTTCCTATCTGGAGTTATTGGCTTTTAAAGGTTTCGCCAGAAAGTCCCCTGCAGGTTCAGAACAAGCTGCTAGGGGGACCAAATTCACACCACTTATTCATGACAGAAAAGGCTGTCTGTCACTAAAAAGTCAAGACCATAGCATTTTCAGAACAAAAGATACAAAAACCAGAAGTTCCGTTGCAGTACCAAGGCCATCGACCAGGAGGCCCATATTTGACCTTGACCTTCGTCTTCCGAAGACTTACCAGCACACCAAATATCATCACAATCCATAAAGGCGTTATGAAGTTATGCTGACTACAAATGTGCGGAAACACAAACACACACACACACACACACACAGACAGACAGACACACAGACACGACCAAAAACAATACCTCCATTTTTCATGAAGGTAATCATTTTTAAGCACATGTAGGGCGGTAAATGTAGAAGTTATCTCCAAGCAGATGTTGGTGGCATCCATGATCTGACTTTTGTGTCATCTTCAAGCAGATGATAGCGCGCCGAAATGCCAGCTTTTTGTAAAAGCACTTTTTACAGTTGCTGTTGTGTAGTGATTTAGTGAAACAATGGTGGATGTGATACCGCACATGCATGTATATCATCAGTTTATCGAGGTTTTCAACACCGCACATACCAGAAACCGGACAGCAAAAGCGGACTTCATAGTCCAGGCACCATTTGTCAGTCTGGTCCACGTTACGACACGTGAAGCCTCTCTGGGTATTGTAGTCAGCAAAAACTTCTCCCGTCAGGCTGGCCTCCTGTTGGGTGCTTCTAACCCGGGCCTGGATACTTGTTGGTGCCCGGCAGACCTGGCCTTGATACTCCTGGCGAAGAAGGTACAGTAGTTCTGCGTCTTCATTCCCAGTTGGATCATCCCGATCAAACCACACTGTCCAACTTTCATAACAGGGATCTTTGACAGAAGAGAAAATTAAAGAATCTGTCATCCAAAATACGTTTTAAGAAAAAAAATCAATATTGAAGAATGGAATCTTCCACCGGCACCCGTATATAAAATGAACCAGTACACAAATCTTTGAAGTCCAAAATTAAATTGTACGCACAAAAAAACTTCTTTAGAATAGACCCTTCCATTGGTGCCATGTTACGTTATAGACCAGTCCAAAACCATTTACACAAACACCAAATATGGTATTTGTGTACAAACACCCCTTTCCGAATTGATTTTGAAAAAAAATGCCTCCCCTCTTTAAGAATGAATTCTTCCAGCGACCCCCACCTTATGTTATGGTCCAGTTCAAAACACTTTTACTTACAATTTGACTTTCTCAAAATCGCTCTAGGATTCTAAAAAAAGTGCCATACAACACTGCCTTTTGTACATGTTTGGACGGCTTAACTTGAGAAATTATGGATGGATTCAGAGGATATTTTAGTAGTGTCCGAGAAAGGATGGTGACGTTAGATTTTGGATATCCTAGTGCGATGAAACACTAAGTTTGTGTGTGTGTGTGTGTGTGTATGTGTGTGTGTGTGTGTGTGTGTGTGTGTGTGTGTGTGTGTGTGTGTGTGTGTGTGTG